TCATACATTGAGATATTTAAGGTTTTGCATTTGAAACAACTTAAAAATATTGGCAAACGTTAATCAATTCGGGGGATATTTATCAAATCGTAAACTTGTTAAATTTTATTATGTAATAATAATTAATAAATAATAACTGTCTTATAATATATATATATATTATACCTATAATATCTATTATTTATCTGATGCAACTCACGGTGGCTGTTGCTTAAAAATTTAAGAGACGATTCTGCTGTTCATATTTTTATTATTACATTGTAATATATTATTTATTCTAGAAAATACTTTTATTTACAGTTAAGAGGGTATTCCAGTGTGACGGGTAAAAAGATCAATTTTTGTTTCTTATTTTTTATCCATCGGAAATACAACTCTTTAAAGATGTGCTTCTGAAAGTGACTTTTAGTGACTTCCGAGAAAATAACGAAGTTAGAAATACTTTTGTGTGGCCTTGTCGTAGCCCGACCACAGGACCTCAAAGTTTAAAACACGTTTTTCTCGAAACTACATTTTTCGAATTGGCTGCCACGATATCTTAGAACCTATCGCAACGATCAAGCTCAAATTTTGCGTGTATCATCGGCGCGTGCATGGTTACCGTCGGTATCTCAATTATGCTAAATATATATATATATATATTATAGATTAAATAATTATATATTAAAGAATTAAGAAATGAAAAATGGCAATATTTTGACTTTAAAGTTTCGTTTCGTCGTCGAAAAACGAAACTTTAAAGTCAAAATACTGCCATTTTTCATTTCTTAATTCTTTAATTTGAATTTGTATTTGAATTTGAATTTCATTTTCTCAATTTAAATTTCTTTCTTCTTGATCACTGCGGTTGAGCCTATTCGATACACATTAAAAATTGTCTTGTAATAAATACCTACTAATTCTGCATTTAATACGATCCACACATATGTATACAATTATTTTCGGTGTGCGCTGTAATGCGGAAACCCTAAATTAAATCAATATCGCGAGTCTATAGAGAAAAGAAAGTTTCAACTTTGAATCTCGTGTGTGAATCTCATCCGAATGACTTCTCATTTCCTTTTAAATCATAAATAATGGATGTGTATATATACTATGCTTTGTATAAAAAAAAAAGATATCGTTGCAAAGAATTCTGTATAATGTGTGAAATGCATTCCAATACCCTAACTTATCATTAACATATCGTTAACCTTCCTTTTATCAATACAATTTGGCGGTACCAGATAAACTGCAGCAGCTCCTTTCTCCAGTACAACGAAGGTTAACCAGCTCTTTTTTATTTTACTTTGAACTAACTTACGGCTTTTGTCGGATTGGCCAATATTTTGTATGTTGCTGGATGGTCTTTTTTCCGAATAATGTGCATCCGCTTTGTGACAACATCCTTCTATTATATTCCTTAAAATAAATGACCAGAGTTTAGTGAATGCGAAAGTGAACTGAACATCGCAATGCTTGCAACAACAAATTCGCAAACAACTCTATTTCTAATTTAATGAAAATAATACAGCTGCAATTTACAAATCCAACCGCGATTTCTATCATAGTACGTTTGTGAATAAATAAATTTCATCGTTTCTGATGTGAAAGCTTCGTAATTTCGGTAACATTACAACAACAATGTTGTCCGGTGATTGTGTATGTATGGTCGCGAATTAAATAGCCAGACGTTCAGATGGTAATATCTTTACTTAGTAATTAATTACCTTGCAGAATGTATTTACATAAAGGTTCTCCAGATAAACCAAGTGTACAAAGAGAAGCAATAAAATTTCTCTTTTCCGGCACGAGCAATAAAATTCTGTCTGATTTATATGTTTACAATTCCTTGTCTACAATTCTGAATCCGCATGAATATTTGGAGTTCAGTTATTACTATACCATTGCTTTCGTTCACCGATTTAGCAACGTTCCCTTTAATTATTGCAAAGTAAGAATAAAATGTTCTCGGATAAAGCGTTGCAAATGCGACAAACCTTAAAGCGAATGTTAAAAACTATGAAAGATCGGAGAATGTTTTATTGATAATTTACGCTTCTAAAATTACACGTGCATATACTACGTAAAATGGGACCAAGTAAATAAAACAAAACGTAATTTGTGACATTGCGAATAGTTTTCACGTACCAAAAATATACCAAAGGTAGATCATTCCATTTTCGTGGTTCAGTCTGTATAGGAACAACTGGATAGAGAGAAGAATCTTTGATCCTCTCATTGTATTCAAAAATATATATGTTACGCCTTTGAAGCGAAGGACACTTTTGAAGGAAGAATCGTAAAATTTTATGATGCTTTTGAATACAAGATAATGCAAGAGTTTCTGTACAATAACTTCAATCTAATTTAAAATTTGGATAAGAGGATGGCCCCTGCTACATAGTTTATGTTACGGTGGTCATAAATCGAGAATGAAGTAAAACAAACAAGTAGAAAAAGGTATTTAAATTTTTCCATTAAGTATACAACTTTTTTCTATTTCATAGTCAAGGAATCGAAAAGTGTGAGAAGATTTAAGACTTGAAAAATGCTTGTAGAAACTTTTGAAGAATGTACTAAATAGTAGGGAAGAAAGTGAGGTCGAATTCTTCGAGAAAAATTAATTTATCGTCTTATTTTGTATGCGTTAGTTTCATAAAGAACTGTTCTTTTAATGTCCCACTTAAAGATTTTAAGTTTCCCTATGTAGAATTTAAAAAGAATTATATTTTTTTATACCACGTTAATATTGTAAATACTTGTAGCATTGTCAAATGTATGGTATTATATTACATTAAATTTGGCAATGGTAAAAAGAACTGTAAGTGAAAATATCAAACGCGCGTGAAATTTATAAAAGCAAAGTAAAAGAATAGAAGAACTGAGTCTGTAAAATAATATTTGGTTTTTAAGGATTATGATCGCAAAATATCATTGATTGTTAATAGACGAAATTTAACGGATACCATAAATAACTTGTAAAAATATGTTATAAGCTTCTAGAAAATGTTTAAATTAATAGGACTTACGTGTCACGAAAGATATAAATTTAAGGGACCAAAAGTTATCGTTTAAAATAGTAAATAAGTTCTGAAATAAATATTCTATAATGCACTATAATTATGCATCTCACAGAATTTTATCATTTATTTATAGACGATATTCATTTTTAACGTAATATGAATATATTCCAGTGAATCGTTCAAGTTCCTCAGCTACGAGTTAATAAAACAGGGTTAAAAGAAATGAAAAATATTTTAATGCGGGCATTAGCTTCCATCGTTATGGAGATTGTCGAAGGTTGATGGTAATCATCTGGATCGTGTATTATGGATCATAAGAAACATTATCCATCGTCGAGTTTAGTATCGACCCATTACCTATTATTTTCCTTCGTTGTAATACAAAAAATAATAAATAATTGTCAATTTAATTATTACGATTAAAGGTTACGAGTATGTTTATGCAAAGTGTGTAGGTAATTATTAACACAACGCAAACAACTTTTCAGGCGCACATCAATTATAACACGTCAAAAAATTTAGAGGCGTGCATATGGGACAACGAACATTTTAATATTACGATTGAAATTAAAGTATTTTTAAAATTAACAAAATTAACAAAGCGATTCTGTTATTCAAATTTATACGTAGATAAATATACGTTATTCGCGCACAACAAATAATATCGGTCAACAGAAAGTAGTTGATAATAAATAATTGGTTCTATTAAATGATTAAATATTAAGTTTTTCACACACACATAATCCATTTAATTAAATTCTAGGGGGAACGCAGAGAATGAGATATTAGTGTGTAATAAAAAATGCTCGAGTTATAATACCATTATATTCGTGATTAGTGTAAACGAAAAGTACCAAGTTGTATTAATGAAAACTTCATTCTGCGACCGCTAAACACACTGAACACTTTTGTATGTTTGTATACTTGACACGCTAAATACAAAAACTGTTTTTGAAGAAATTACTTAGACTACTCGTAAATGTCAGTCTTATTGTCGGTGAGAATAAAACATCAGAAAATACGATAAAAATATATGAACGATTTTTGCAACATACGATATCGCACGAAAATTCGTTTTAATTCGTTAACTTAAAGGAAGTTGTTACTTTTGTAATTCTAGTGTCCCGACAATTTTATAGAAACCACGCTAACGGGGTTTCTTTCAATGAAATTATACATGTGGATCGTAAGGTAATAAATAATGTGTAATCGGTGCTGCAGGAACGGTTGAATACTTACCGGTAAGCACGTGATCGGAGTCGTAATATCGGCGGACGGACGATTATGTAGGTGAAAACTGAATAAGTTTGTCGTTTACGGAATTTAGGAAGAAATTAAGTTCGACGTACGCCCACTCTACGAGAAGGTTCTCCACGATTTATGTATATCGGACGAAAATTGTATATTCTAGAGAAAAAAAAAAGAAAATGGTAACTGCAAGGACCGACAATGAAATCGACTCGAGAAATACTAGTTCAAAATTGGCCAAAGTCTGCAGGCTGTACACTATAGTTGTCACGATGCCATCCGATCGAGCGAACCGACTCGAATGCGTTGGCGCGAACGAATAATACTCACGCGGCACAGAACGGCTCGCCACTGCCGAAAAACTTGACTACCACTACCCACTGTCCAGGAGCAAAGGCTTTAGGTTTAAGGCGTGGTTTCCAGATACATTAGGATGATGCGCGTACCGAAGACCGTAAAACTGTCAAATAATCGGCAGTAAGTCAAATTTTTACCAGGACCAACGGAATATGTAAATTCACTGAGATCCGACTAATTTTATTACTTACAGTTCTCGACGAAAGTTTGCATATACTATACATTAAAATATATAATATTTTATAGATATTCAGATTATTTATTAGTTAGACAGATTCTATAGGAATTTCTTTTATAATTGTCGAGAAGAGAATTTAAATGAATTGAAAATACAACATTATGGAAATATACAAGTGATTACCAAGAATACGTTGGTATGGACGAAATTTGTTATTATGATCGCAAAAATTATAACGACAAATATTGTGTATTTTAACCGGTTAAGTGTGGAGTTTAGTTTGAAAAATCTCTCATTGTGCGCGCAATAAAATCAAATAATGAAGTGTACACTCGTTGAATGCAGGTGAAATGCACTTGAAATATATCCTAACGATAAACTAAAGCAAAACGAAGAAGAATTACGTGTTTGCCTTAAAAAATAACTAGTAAAAAATAACTAGTCTTCTTGTTAGCATCACATCACATTACGGGAAACGAAAATTTACTTTCCCTACTGTAGCTCATTACAATAATTGATAGGCGTATCATCATTCGCGGCACGAAGCGCAGTGGTATTTTAAAATCAAGTTGACGAAAACCGAGCAAGGGGAAAGCCAATTTCTCGAACCTGTTCGTATGTTGTCTTTTCTTCTTACTTTCGATCATTTTATTTACCAAAGTATCGTATTTATTAGCAACCGCGATGCAACGTACAGGTGTTTTTGTACGAATAGGTGTAAACAACTATAAACCTGTTACTACAGTGACAATAAAATCAACGAAGCAGAGGAATAAAAAGAAATTATAAGATTCGGATAATCTAGTACAATAAACTTATTATGCCTCTAAAAATAGAGTATTCTAAAACTTCAACTAAATTGAAATAAGACAGTATAAATGAAATCGACTTTTCTCATTATAAATGAAATCGACCAAGTCTATAACGAATTGGAAGTTTCCTATGATTAATGCGAACGCTATATAATACATATAGCCTTCTTAAAAATATGAATTAAACAAGAATTATTTAACAATTATCTCCTGGAGTTATCTTGTTTGTGATATAAAAAACTTGCAAGTACATTGATGCACTCTGTACTGTTCACAACATAAACTCCACAGAGTGGACCATCCCCGCCATCTTTGCCGCCATTGATATCTTTCCGACCTTTATTGGATTCCTTGTACTTCGCCGATAGGAAGAATACAAGCGTTCTATAATTTATGTATACCGACGATTCCACGTGAAAGAACAAGTGAAATAATTGTTCACTGAGGCTTATTCTGTTTTTGTCTATTATATTCGCACGAGTTACTTAATAGATTGATAATGCCTTTACCAACCAACGAAAATCTGTTTACACTGCCGCATTCGATTACACGAAATCTATTCAATTACACAGCTACATAATATACGCGCACCTACATGTAAGATCATTCAAATGTGATATTAAAACGAATCTGACAATCAGTGGCATCATATTCGATTTTGTTTTCATTAGAAAAATCTTGTAAACGAATATACATAAAGTTAAAGCTAGCGAGAAATACGAATATTTAATTTCACGATGGTGCACAGTATTTCGGGCGGCCGCATACGTAACTGTACGATGCCACTCAACCTTGATTGACAGATCTCTCGTTCTGCAGTTCTGAAAAGTAACCGAGGAGGGGATATTTGATTGGAAGCGAGGGTGCTTGGAACTATACAGAGAGAGAGAACCATTGCTATAGTAGGTTAGTGAAAGAAGAGTTTGCGAGTGTACGCGCCATTGGGTTTAAATATTCGTGAAACTTCGTACGTGACCGTGCACGAACGAAAGCGCCCTATAGGAAGATGGAACTCGAACACTTTATCAATAATGCGGTGCGTTCACACTCAGATCGTAATCTGACTGCGACCTGTAAGCATACGGCGTATGGAATATCAGTAAAGAGAATTTCAGAGGCTTGTTCGCTATTCTGCGAGTCGAGTCTAAATCGTGCTGTGTCAAAGATATATTGAAGTAAACTGGTTCGTGGAGGTTCGTACAGTCTCGGGAGCAACCAGACGGTTCCTGCGCAAGGATCGGTAAAGCTGTGTCAGTGGCCAGTGCGGATCCATCCCTTCGCGAGGCACGTTCCACACCGAGTAATATAAAATGCTCGTCAATAAGTGTCAAACAATATTGTGCACTCGAACCTTGTCACGGCAATTCATCAATGGTATTTACGATCATTTTGATCTATTTATTACGCTCTTCGTCTGTGATGTTTAATTGATCGAACACGCGAAAACTGAACCATTCGACACAGTATAAATCACTCCGCGCATGATATCCGAAAAATCGATAACTCGTTGTCAGTTTATTTGCTTAATCTCTCTTGACAGTCTGGATGACATGTTAATTTACGATGCGCCGGTTCTTCGTGAGAATTTTTTTTAAATAGCCCGAGTACACGAAATCCAAAAATACGATCATTTTCCCGTGTACGGTACAGTGTACTCGAAAAATAAGTGATACCACGATTATTCCATTGAACTTCGAATTATCTTCGCTAATAAAAACATGTAGTAAAAAATATATAAGACGAAAAAGAGATATGAATTACCGGGCATGGATACTATAGCAATATCAGAGATTAAACAATAGTATTACTTAAGCAAACATAACTCTTTACCCTTAATTATCCCTTATCGACATTTATCTACACCAAGTTTCGTTACTTATCTTATCGAAATCTGGGATATCGTACAGTTGGACAAAATTATCATTTTTCACGTACACGAACACACACCTTATGGCGTAAACTTGTTTATCGACCTTGTGTTTCCAGAACTAAATTGGAAATTTAATATTATTATTTTGTTTTATTTTGTTTTATTTTGTTTTATTTTGTTTTATTTTGTTTTATTTTGTTTTATTTTGTTTTACTTTATTTTATTTTATTTTATATTATTTTATTATTTTGGCTGTAACATGTTCGTTGCTTAACTTATGACAAGAATTTCATTTGAAATCTGATTATTCAACTTTGTTCATTAAAATCGTCCAAAAATATTATAGTCGATGTCAGTGGTAATTTTTACGATAAATTAACATCGAAGGTGTACAAGTTGCAGCGAATAAATTGACATTAAAATGAGAATAATATGTACAACAACATTAATAAACAGGAAACGGAATAAACATATTCTCTATTATGCGGCGAGCATAACTTATGTGAAAGTGCGTCAGTATGTCAAGCAATTATCCTTAAGTGACATCAATGAAACTAAACGTGCGGTCTATTAAACCTCGAGGGTTTAACGTGATTTAAGTAGACGATAGTACCAGCGATATGTTATTCAGAGGCAAATGTTATCGTGGCCGAAGCGTATCTACTATCTTACATTTGAATTTCTGACAAACATTTTCACTCTAGTTGTATAGTCGATAATTATTCGTAGATTTTCGTGTTGAAGTTCTTGGTGCTAATGAATATTTAATTATTCAATCGATCACATGTTACCGAATGAACATATAAATCAGTAATTCGTTTCGTTCTTTTTTCTGTTCTATCCGAATATTTCTATTAAAGATATATATGTATGTATATTTTTATACATTATTTCATTTATTTATATATACCAAAGTATTAGGACGAATATAAAAATTTGTTCTTTAATACAGGGCATACGATACCATGGAAAAGGTGCCTAACTGGAGCTTTGTCCGGAGAACCAAAAAAGCCGATAGTCGCAACGGAAATACCGGGACCTCAATCACGTAATTTGTTACGGGACCTCAATATGATACAAGTACGTTAATCGTCGGTACATTTAAATACTTTCATAGCAAAAGTTTTATTTGTGGTATTGTAAAATTACGATTGACTATCGAATTATTTACTTGTCGTTAAATATTAAAAGTTTTGTTTTTGTCTATCATTGTCAGTGACAACTTAAATCTATCATAATTATATAAACACGCAAATTATCTTTACTTACAACATTCAATTCTCAATAAATCTCCCCCTCTCTTTCTCCCTTTGTATATATAAGAAATAAAACAAGATACGTGTACAAATTTATGTCTTCAGCAAGCATCTTCCGTACAATTCTTTGCGGATTACGAAAAATCAACGGGTAACTACATAATGGATGTAGATGGAAACGCTCTGCTCGATGTGTATATGCAAATTTCATCGATGCCTTTAGGCTACAACCATCCGGCTATGTTAAGAGCCCTTGCTGATCCTCTTAATCAGGTGAACGAAATATCGTGTTTCAATGTTCAGAAAAAAGGTTGATGAAAGTAGGCTTGAAAATCTACATGCGTACGTTCTCCGTTATATCGATATTATAAACGGAACTTCGATTCTTACGTATCCGAAACTGTAATACATAAAAATTAGAATTAGACTCGTATTACCCAATATTTGCATTTGTAATTTAACGTGCCAATGTCTATATTAAATAGTAATTCATTTTAACAGAAAATAATAGCCAACCGACCAGCATTGGGTGTCTTCCCCGGAAAAGAGTGGCCTAGTAGATTAAAAAGAATTATGCTTCAGAAAGGGGTGAGTAAGTCGGATATCAAGCTAGCGCAAATTAATCGTATTAATTTATTTCATGCTAATATATACTTATTATGGATACGTTCCAGGTTGCTCCTCCAGGAATGTCTCATATCACAACTATGATGTGTGGCTCCTGTTCGAACGAAAATGCTTTTAAAAACATTTTTATTTGGTACGCCGAAAAACAAAGAGAAGGTGTTCCGTTCACGAAAGAAGAAATCGAAAGTTGCATGATGAATCAGGTTCCTGGTGCACCACGATATTCGATACTTTCGTTCAAAGGTAAATAATTCTATCAGGTAGTGAACAGGAATGATCAAATTTCAATTATAATTAATTGTAACTTAACTCAATATCATTAATAGGTGCTTTTCACGGAAGAACATTGGGAACCCTTTCAACGACGCATAGTAAATATATTCATAAAATAGATATTCCGGCGTTTGATTGGCCTATTGCCACGTTCCCCGTATACAAGTATCCGTTGGATGAACATCTTAAAGAAAATCAACAAGAAGATCAACGTTGCTTAGCCGAAGTATGTGCTTAGTTGCTATAATTTTTATACGACGTGCAAATATTTTTTTACACTAACATATTACATTCGAAATTCCTGTATCAATTACAGAATATTATCATGTTGTACCATTGTTATATTAGGTTGAAGAATTATTCGAGAAGTATAAAAATGAAAAGAAAATTCCTGTCGCTGGTGTAATAGTGGAGCCAATTCAATCGGAAGGAGGTGATAATCATGCCTCCCCAGAATTTTTCCAACAATTACAACGTATAACAAAAAAAGTAATAATTATTTATATTAATTATAATAGAGTTGTAATCTCAAAATTCTGATGATGGTACCAAATTTGAATATAATTTTATAAGACTATATTATACTCCACAGTAATATGATTATTGATATTTCAGTATGGAGCAGCGTTACTAATCGACGAAGTTCAAACAGGAGGTGGTCCAACAGGAAAAATGTGGTGCCACGAGCATTTCAATTTAGAATCTCCGCCAGACGTAGTAACTTTCAGTAAAAAAATGCAGCTGGGTGGTTACTACCATGTCGAAGCTTTAAAGTAAATCAAGGCATATTTTATTACTTAACAGAATATGCATATTATAATACGTTCAAATTTCAAGAATATCTTGCATCAATATTTCGGAAATGAAACCATGACGTTTTTAATTCGTATTCATGTGTGAAATATGCATGCTCTAGGGTGTACTTCATTTTTGAGATATTATGTACACGTTATCAAATGATTACAGGCCCAAACAACCTTTCCGGGTATTTAATACCTGGATGGGAGATCCTAGTAAAGTAATACTACTGGAAGCAGTTATGGAAACGATAAAGAATGAAAATCTTTTGGACAGAGTCGTACGAGTTGGCGATTACACGTTGAAGCAACTCTTAAGTTTACAAAAAGAATTTTCTACTATAATCAATTCGACTCGTGGTCGAGGTACATTTATCGCATTTAATTGCGCTACGCCCGAAATACGAGACAGAGTAATTAAGGATCTGTTAGCCAAAGGTAATTTTATATATCAAAGCTTTACTAAATATATACTGAACAAAATCGTAGAATCTTAAATGAAAAAAAAAACGTGACCCATAAATAACTTTTTACATAGGTATTCAAACCGGTGGTTGTGGCTCTACAGCGATAAGATTAAGGCCTGCCTTAACATTTACAGAAAATCACGCGGATGTATTTTTAGACAATCTTCGATCAGTCTTAAAGAAGTAATTATATATCCATATATATAACTTCTAAATTACATGGCCAGTGATATTAAAAATCGAAGTCTTCCATTAAAATAATGAATATGGTGAGGTATATTAAAATAATCGTTAAAATAGTTGGTGCATTATTTTTGTATATCAATCTTATCGTCTTATAAAATACGTCTATGTACGTAACAGTTAAAGTATAAATGCTATTTTTATTTCACTAAGATATTCATCATTTTTTGTATAGAATTCAATTTAAAGATCATAGGAAACTAATAATTTGACGTAATAATTTACAAGATATACACAAAAATTATATATAGTTTGTATTTTTTTATGTATATAAAATATTTGTTGAAAATTAAGAAACACTGACTGTATTTACAATCCATTTGTCTGTAAAGAGAGCAGTTACTAAATGCCCCCTACACCATGTGTTGAAGTTTTATATTTACTTCCTTTGCATTAGTATATATGAAATTGTAATCTTAATTCATTTGACGCTGTATTCTGATCAAATGTTTATTTCATCATTTTCTTTAAAATATCCGCGAAATGTTCATATTCCTTATGATGACTCTTTTGTACCATATAGGCAATTGTTTTCATCTATAAAGAAAAACAAATTTTATTGTACGGATAAACTGTTTTTCTAATAAAAATTCTGTTACTTTTTTACCTTAACTTTTGAATCAATGAAATTATAACGTTGAGACAAATTCCACAAATTCACAGCCATGTGTGCTAATGATGGATCACGTAAATCAGCTCTAATAACAAAACAATTAAAAAGCTCAAGTGCAAGGTTTGCTTGTTTCTCAAGCTGATCAGTAGTCCCAAGATACTTTAAATGAGACAAAATCTCTTCTACGAGTTTTGAACATATTTTGTTGACTTCACTTATAAATTTTTTGTCAGATCCATACAATTTATCATTAGAATCAACCTATATGCGGAAAGAACATTATAAAATGTGAATGCCTTATGTTTTACTTCATATTTTAAATACCTTATCAACGTGGTATGGATAATTCTCCTGAGTTACTGCTGACAATAAATCAAGCACGCGTAAATACAAATATGACTTTGTCGATACATTTTCCTCGAAACAACGTTGAACAGCATTCAGCAAACCGCGCATCAAATATAAAACACCATATTCTGGACTATCCTAATGAAATTGTCATAATTTTTATTCTGTTTTCTTTTTCAATTACATATTTGTTCAAAGTTCTTTGTAAAAATTTAATGGAAGTACATACCGGAACTACTAACAACGTTGATAAAAAATTGGATAAATATGATAGTAAATATGGTTGTGAGTTTTTCTGTCTTCCATCTATATCTATTGTTTTTGGCATGTCAGGAACCAGGCTTAAAGCAGCTTTAAAACATGCATCGGCTAAGAAAATATTATTTCTTTAATAATACTTATAAATCAAATGATTTGTATAGGCAAATTAAAATGTTTACCTTGACCTAAGCATTGATTTAAAAGTGCCACTTGACCCGACAATAGATATAACTGTAGGCGTGTACGAACTAATGTCAACGACGGAATAGTAATAAAACAAAATGCAGCACAGGCACGTACAAATGCTGATGTTCTTCTTGTATGATGTCCCCGAACAATTTTTCGAGTGTCAACCGATAATCTATTTACACACTACACGCAAAAAGATTAAGATTCCTTGATAAAATATTTCGTATTATAATTAAATTATTATGTAATAATGACTAACCTGTACAAGTTGTACATGTACACTATCGAGATTGGGAAAAGCAGCTCTAGCTTCTGCGTAAAAATTAAGCTGTTTCTCAAAATCACGATCATAATCGACACGTTGCACTAAGCTACAAATAAGTTGACCAATTTGTCGTTTCTCATCTTCAACGGTTAAAGCACTGAAATTATTAAATAATTATTAAATAATAGATACATATTCATTAAATAAAAAAATTGTATATACCTCACAGAGTCGTGCATTATTCTAGCGACAAACATGAGAGCATTTATAACAATGGGATCGGTAATAGAACTACTTTGAGCACTTAAACCTTCTATAATTGTTTTACAAACTTCAACCTTAATAGCTTCCTTGTGGAACAAATCGATGAAGGGTAAGAAATTATCCTGAAAAATTGAACCCAGAATATTGTGTATACATATTTTATATATATTAAAGTAGTAAATAATAAATAGATAATAATTACTATAGCAAATAGAGACTCAAAATCTTGTGTATGTGCAATCACTTTTTCAATAATGTTTTGCAACTGTGGATAATGATGCTCAAAGTTTTTGTTTGGATTAAGTCGATCAATTATTTTTCCAAAAAACAAATTCAACTCATTTACCTGTAACGAAATAATAAAAGATAAATACCTCCATAGTCTTAAGAGTAGTAATTAAACTTACAGAGAAATGTATAGCAGTAAATTGAATCCAAATTTCCACACAATACATAAATTTATTAGGATTTGTTAATTCTGTGATATATTTCCATATTATATTAAGAATTGTTTGACAATCTTCTTTTGGCGGTGATTCTTTTATCAAACATTCACCGAAACTTCTATATAAGTGATATTGTGGGTAACCTGTAAAATTGAGCAAATAAAATCACTCATAAAAATATTAAATTTCATTTGCGGTATATTATTGAACAAGTTTTAAAATTACCGTCATCTTGAATTGCAGTTATCAAATTTAAGAAATCTATTGCACGTACAGCAATATATGATGGTTTAAATGCTATTAAAATGCTATTCAATAATAGCGAACTATAAAAAAAAGACGGTAAATTAATATTAATACAACGTAGTGAAATAAATAGAAAATAATATAATCACCTATTTGTCTGTTTTTTGCTTTGCGAAAGTACATCTTCTAAAAGATTTTCAGGAGTTGTTGCCACCAAAATTTGTAAAATCCAATCTAAAGCTGGTGAATACAGATTTAAATATGAATATAAAGACATACTTTGCTTAACCAGTTCATCTTTTACAAAAGGACTGAATAACTGCTGATACGTCGAGAGGAAATCATAAAAATTATCTCTTACAAATTCAAAATCAGATGTTTTGTTTAAAGCTAATCCCACACGACATAAATAACATCTAGCGTATACAGCTATAAGAGGATTTCCAATTCCTCGTATCATTTGTGTAATTCTAAGTAGTGCACTATTAAATTCACTGAAAATAAAAAGATGCAAGTGAAAATTAATAATTTGTATATTTTCATATGAAAAATAATATAATTTCTCCTTATCAATTTTGTTAATAAAAAGTATCAATACAAATTTTATGAAAACTCTATAAAAAGCTGGTATAGACAATACATATTCAGTATTTTACCTTGTTGTCAAAAAACTGTATGATTTTATTATTGCCATTTCCACATACAAACGAGGAACTAGTTCTCTTATTGATGCAATTTTATAAAACCAATTTCTACACGTTTCTTTTGCATTTTCAGGTACCATATCCGGTGTAAAATTATCAGGTAAACTCGTTGGTACTTTGCTTCCTGGTCTACAAAGTATTACGGAATAAATAATTTTATTACAGAATAATACATAATTATCTGGTATCCCATACAACTATAATAAATTAAATTTATAACCACCTCTATTTGTCTTGTAACATTCCTAAAGAAACTGATTCATCAATATAAGAAACCATAGTTGCATGAGTCACCTTGTTGTCATCCCATATTGAACAAAGGATCAGATAAAAATTATTAAAAATTGAAAATTAAAGTAGAAATTTAATTAAATGACTGTAGTACTAACTTGTAATATTCAGCCTTTACTTTTAATCTTTCATACACAAGTTTCCCAAAAATATCTAAGATGTCAGTGATAAGAACAAATTTGCTGGGGTAAAACGTCATAACAGATGTATCTACTAACAATTTGGCACACTAAAATAATTCAAAATTAATTTACATTTTTCCTTAAACATAATTAGCAACATAATAATAATAAAAGAAATACCTGAATGGCTATTTTCAGTGCCTTAACTCTTTGATCAGAATGCCATGCTTGTACAAGTTCATTATTTAACTGTTCTATTCTTGTAGTATATTGTTGTTGTGATAGATCTAACATTTGCCTAACTGATCCTTCCTCAAAATCATCTAGCTGTTCCAATCTAGTTCGTACTTTGTCTACTACACCACCAGTTGGTTGAACTTTAACAATGACTGCAATGAATTCATTAATATTAATATGATTCCCAACAATTATTTATATAATATAATATATTTATAAAAAGAAAAATATACCTTTTTCGCCACCTGTTAAAAAGCTAGTAACAATTGATAGCTTTTCTGAAGTAGTATACTTGTTTAATATTGCAGTTCGCCTTGTTGACCAAGGTTCTACCAATTCCTCTGCGGTATCTTTAACTTTTTTATTAGTAACAATAGTACTGCTAGAATAATCCCACTATAAAATCAATGTCATGCAGTCATGTCATATATAAAAAAAAATTATAAAATTTATTAAAATACATATTGTACTTATATATAACTTAATAACCTCATCTGCAGCCATTTTAGATAAAGGATCTAATTCCTCTCTGGCAAATTGTGACAGAGGATCAGATCCATCAAGAGAAGAATGACTTAATAATGGATCTGGTAAAGTATTTCCTAAAAGTGGAGTTGATGTACCAATCGAAGAGCTACTATGCATATGTTGCAACGCATTGCGTTTGACTCCGCTGCGACCATCAATTAACTGCAACCATATAATTACAATGCAATAAAATTAAACTATTAGAAAACTGTTACGATTATGCAAGGTAAAGAATTGTGTCATAAACAAGAAATTTTTTTAATATTAAAATTATTACCATAATAGTAACAGGTTTTAAAGGATGATCTACTGTTTCTTCTAAATATGCGAATCGTACTATTTTATAATTGACTGGTTTTGCAATCCTATGAAATATTAGAAACATGGTTTTTAATAACTTTATTAATTATTAATTAATAATAAAAACATCAGAAATATACCAATCTACTGCCATCATTTTCCAAATGTACTAAAGTATACTTATAATTTAATGGTAATATCAATAATACAACTTATTATTGCAGTACGTCAAGCATTCTACAGCTTCATGTTTAATCTTCTAAACTTCAATAACAAAACCTGATGATCGCCCTCCCAAATACACATTTATGATGTAAAATATTATTCTGTAGTACCAACGTTGAGGCGTTAAAATTTTCTTCGTTCAGTTTTCTTAGTGGCGAGCAATCTAGGGACCTTCCAGATTAGTCACTAGTCTTACGTCCGAGTTGGTGACATGTTAATAGCGCCACCTGGAAGTACTAGAAAAGGAACGCGGGAAGAGACGACAGGGAGTTGAATGTGAAGAGTAAGGTTGCAGTCAACCGTCGAAGGCGTGTAGCGTCATTTGTGATAATAATTATTTTGTTACTGTTACTAGTGACTTTTCCTTTGTACTTCTTGTGTACCTAGACCCGCATCACATATCCAGAGGTATCAAACTTCCTCTTCTCAAGCTAGTGTTTCTCAATCAGTGTCCCCCTACTGCTCTCTACTTCAGAAGCTGCTCGAGATTGTATCTGAGCAGTTCTATGTAGTATTCGAACAAACAGGAAAAGATAGGTATGAAGATTTAGCAACCTTGTTATATTATTATAGTGTTTAGACAAACAGGTGAAAGTGCGTATGGAGAAGGTAACTCTCCATAAAAGTGTAACCCTAGAGAGCTTGCGACATCCCAGTTCGATATGTTTTATTTTATTTTGTTTATCAATGATATCCTTTTACAGAATAATTATCTGTATATGAGAAGTTAAGGATTAGAGTAGTAGTATAAGATATATAAATTATAATGGGTTACGGGAAAAATTTCATTTCTATGGTTTAGAAACGTCTGGAACGTCAGCTTTAAAAATATGGAATAGAAACCGTATAAATAAAGCTCTACTTTAAGAATTGTAACATGACCTTTGCAAGACGTTTCAGGGTCACTTCACGGTGAAACACCTCCTGTCGTGATATGTTGGGTACTTCGCATCTTGTAACTTTTGTCTGGCACATTTTGTTCGTATCACTTATATTTTTCGAGATAATTCAGTGTTCTCAATTCGGCTGTAATACATTTCGAAAAAGAATACTTATCGTTTCATATCGTTTCGCATATTTATCATTTACAATAGATACTCACCATCCAACGTGCAAAATACTGTCATTGTATTTATTTTTGACATTCGAAATCTCTATTTTTCGAATAGTTAGCTTTCTCTACTAGCTATAGAAAAATCGTGCGACGACCTAAACGAGATCTAATGTAACTTTTAAGGGAATTTTAAATGAAGCACAATTAATGTCACTATAATATTTAATATTAGGACATTCTATTGACAGCTTAAAATATTACGTACGTATCACATATTACATATGTAACGAACAACATTCTTCCTGCTTTTACGTATACGCATTTGTTTCCATAGAGACATGTACGTATGCGTAATGGCAGCTAAGTTTAATAAACTGACCAGTTATTTAATTACGCGTCATAAAATTTCTTCAATGCAACAATTTACTTTAGTGATCGTGGTGAACTATGCGGTTGTGTTGTATCCATGTGTGTTGGATATCTTAATTTCTTCATGAAAATTCGTCACGCATAGTTTACATTGGCCTCTATCGATGTGAATACGTCGACGCAGCTCTGTTCAATCATTTAGATGACTATACACTGTTGATACTTTACAAAACTATATACACTACAGCTTTTTTTTTTATATTATACGACGTACTCTGTTGTCTCAGAACAAACGCGTTGCATTTTTGTTCTTCTCGCGTGTAATTTAACAATATCGAGACAGCCCGAAGAAAGAACCGATTTACATGACATTGTAATACAAATAAAATTAAAGTAGAACCTCAAGTAAAATAAATATTGTTTTACGAATAAAATAGATACGTATAGGTAGGTATATAAGCACCTACATATGTACATATGTATGTATATCTTATGTATATATATATATATCTGTAAAGACAATTTCGTTTGATAGCCGAAAAATAAAGACGGGAAATAAATTTAGAAACAATTTATCGCATTGGACTTAACTTTAACGTATGAAAGTTCAGGAAGAATATCTGCACGAGGAAAAGTCCTACATTTTTATTTTAGTTTGGTTTCTGTCTACCATTAATAATAAGCAATCAAATATTTCAGGAAAAATTAAGTTACTCAACTATCCAGGTATCTACTATGTAATTGAGGTTCCTTTATAACACAACTATTCAATTGCGTCTTGAAATTGAATTAGTTGTGAACTAGTTTTGCAGAGTTTAATGAAAAGCTAATTATAAGATATGATAAATCGATTTTTTCTTCCACCAACAATTTATATATTCAAATTCTTCGTGTATGCCTGTATGCTGAATAATAAATAAGTAAATCACCGGATGTGTCCAACATTTGAATACAGTGTTGAAACGAATCATGATAGGCGTGCTGTAGACCACTAACGCAATTACAAAGTGTTTGGTACAAAGATCTTCTTCCCTTTTTATTTTGCACGCCATTTCATTTGATTCATGCCGTTCATATATTCATACAAATACACGAAATGGGCCCTAACCGCGCCACACGACTCTCTCTCGCTAGTCTAAAATGTAATAACATAGTTTTCTAAAATTTGTCCTCCGCTAGGAAACTTCGTTTATCGGTTTGGGTACGGTACGGATCAAATGAGGCAATCGAATGCTGCAATTCCGACTAAATTAATTGCCTATTCAACGATCATGGCTGATTATAATACAATGGTTTATATATATTCACATATAATATATATATATATACACACATTGCCGCTCAAAAGTAAGAATTACCTACGGTAATTAATGTATATACTATATTTGACACGCTAAAAAGTAGAATAAAAAACAATCCGGTTGATTAATTTACTTAAACTTAAAAAAATGAAAGGAAACAATTGCAATAAGCTAGGGAGCATAAAAAGTGGACCATGGAAGTGCTATTATGTTCTGCAGACTAAAGAATCGAAGTTCTAATTATACGAGAGGAGTAGGCGAATAATTGTCCGTCGATTAATTAATGAAGAATTACTAGCCAGTGCGTTATCTCTACAATTGAATATTGAGATAGTACTATTTTGGAAAAGTTTCCCTTTAAATGGAACAGAAGATAATTTTAAATAATTATCTTATTTCAAAGTAATCTTATTTTTCTATCGTTGCGTATACTAAATTGAAATATATAAAAATTTAAATATTCATTCGTGTAAGTAATTTCTCAGAGACCTATTACAGGTTCTCTTCTAGATAAATCGATGATTTCAAACTTTTGAGCGGGAGTATATATACACACATATATATATATATTAATATATAATCATACATATTCATACATATCTGGATTCTATTTATGAGTTTCCTTTGCCTCGTTTTTTTATTTCTTTTAAAGTCATACATAATTCTGATCCTCTTTCAATGCAAAAATCTAATAATTTCCTTTTGAATTATACTGTCGTCTATTTTTCTCGCACAATTTCCATTTGAAAAAAATGAACGAAAAGCACTTTTTCTCTGCCTAGAATAGTCGAAGGCTTGAAAACTGTTAATATAAATGCACGTTAATCTTCCTTTCTCCAATATTTATGAAATATAAAGATGTACACCTCGTTTATTTTGTCTGTTAATGATTTGTCGAACTTTAGCTGTTTGAAAGAAACGTATTTAACGAAATCGTACCGTTGTGTGTTACGATCTTTTATCTTTCTCATTCGTTTACTTCGATACTATTGTTAAGAATATTGTTCGAATTACTTTTGGAAAATAATTTCTTTTAAAATGAAATAAAAGCGATATTCCTCGAACCGAAGTGTTAGAAATTTTCTAGAAAGTAATCGTATAATAAGTGAAACTAATAAATAGCTTCTACATTATCCTCTTAACTTATTGTTAACAACAATAAGTGTATAAGCCCTGAACTCCTGCGAAAGTAATACGCGAATAATTTGATCTAATATAAAATACGGATAAAACATCATATGGGACACTCCAAGGATCGCTGAAATCTTGAATCGGTCACCAGATTCCTCACAAACGCGGCGTAATCATTTTTCTTTTTGTATTTTCCGTCAGCAATGTTTTCAACATCGAAACGTTCGGACAGCACTACTCGTCGTTCTAAACTCTTTCGTTAGGAGCCTCGTTGTTGCTTGTAGTTTTTGTTGGGGTTTTCAGGTACATTGTCAGTCTTTCGGTGGTAAATATGGCTCATTTTCATTCAATTGTATTGTTACATAACTATCCAGGCTGAGGGGGAAAGAACAAGAAGAAAACCTTAGCATTCGGTAAGGAATTTTGTAAATTTAATTTCAATTTCGCACGTCATGCGCCGTGTATATACTTTTTTATGTACCTTTTGAAATCAAACGAATTTCAGTTAGCAAAATTGTACATACATACGTGTGAAATATATAAAGTACATAGGAGAACAAACTCATTCTTCAAAAAGGCTACGTTACATCCTTGAAGAAAGAATACGACTATTTGAATCTATTCTGGGATTGCTCCACTTTCACCGATACATTCTCGATTGAATGATGCCTATTGCAATACTGATGATAATATATCTGTAAAATTTGGCAAACCGCAAATCTGACTTATGATAACACGATTAACATGGGACCTTAAATTATCTCTAGTCAATAAATAAATGTCACTCTTACTTGTAAATTATATCTTATCTTAAGTTATATTTCTCCTATTCTCTCGTGTTACAATACAAACGGTCAATTCAATATAATTCAAAATAATGTATTCTATTTATAACTTCCATTGTCTACTAATTTTCATTCAAAACACTGGAAGACGTTCTTAGTGAAAAAATTGAATCGTTCGTATGGTTCGGAACTGCCGTATCCGGGAAATCTTGAAATAGTAATTTTAAATAAATTAAAAAATTTATATTATCAGAAACGTACCGATTAAACGAGTAGCTCTCATACATTTTGTAATAATAAAATTACAACTGGTAAATTTTGCAGCTTGTACTTTCTCAGAAGTATCGTGGATGTTTCTCTTGTTGCTGTTCATTTAATACTGTTCTCGTATCGAAAGGGTATATCGAAATATATAAACGTATCTTCGAAGTTTAGTGGGATACGTGGAGATAACAAAAAGAATCTCGTTGGCAGAGAAAATTCAATGAAATTGCATTAAGTTGTACTTTCTTCGCGTTAAAGCATTTACGTCACTACTTCAATGAATCTCAATGCAAGTATGATGGCCAAACTGATTCTGTTCGGATGTTCACTGTCGATACTGCAAATCTCATTTCTAATCTTCGTAACAGAGGAGATTCAGAGGAGATTTATACGAGATGTTTAGAAAATTGTAGTGAAGCTCAATAATTTATGATTATTCAATTATTTTTAATGAAATCGAGGCAAACGTTACGTTCGCTTAGTTGATAAAAAGATACAATTAGAATACTAACATTCTGGAAATAAGGTCATTCAGAGTACATGGTTAGAGAAACTTTTTTATTAGCTTTGTCTGATCAATTTATCTCTGCAGTTATGCCTACATGTTTTGAAATGCCCCGTGTAAATGTAACTACTGGTGTAATACAGCAGGATCTGGCTGAATAGCATGTATGAACGAATTATTATATATCGCGCATTATTAAATTCCAGGAAGAACAAAAGGACATTTTAGCAACAATACTGTATTATCAAATAATTACAAAGCTGCATTTAACAAGACTTTTTCTCCACTCTTTGTACTCGTTAACTTCGATTTTTTCCTCGCGTATCCGGTGGCCTCAGTAATCGAATGAAAACTGTTCACATACTACAGCAGTATTTTAATCGTAACTGTACACATGTGCGATTTATGAACTCGACTTTCGTAAAAGTTCCTCGAACTTCGGACGAACGAATACCTATTATTCTCTAATTATTTTTAAATATTTCTCGTAAGAAATCACCTCGTATCCGCTTGTATGTACGCACGTGCATACATGTTATTCAGACAAACTCCGTGTACGCCTAATTCCGTTCGAATGAATATAATTAGTAATCGTATCAATTTCCATTTGCTAGATTCACTGCAATCTAATGGTGTTTGTAATATAGCCGTATTAAGAGTGGCATGAAATGAAATGGCGACAGAAGATCCAGAGTATATAGCGATCCTTTAAGCTGTCCCTCGAATGGTAACAAGATCAATACTATAATACGCGACGGATAAAATCTATTCTTCAATGTTTATCATTCAAGTTGTACAGACAGTACGGAAATGCGTATATAAGTATATATATATAATATAGGTATCTGTATATATATAAATATCTCTGAAAATGGAGAACAAAAATAGTTTTTGATTCGTCTTGAAGCTTCCTTCCGGAGATACTCCCAGAATTCCTTGAATAGAATTATACAAGATAATGTAAACGAATAAATTCCCTCCAGTTATGAATTGTCGCAGCTCACAAATAAGATCCAGTCATACGACGAGACTATTCTTACCGACAGCTTCAGTCACGATTAACCGAATAATCTTAACACATATCTATACTGAACTCGTGTTATATTCGTTTCCCTAAGGACTGTAATATATTTGTCATTTTCATCGTATCATCTTTTATGACTATCTATCTAGAATGAGAATGTTTACAATAATTATAAGGGGCTCCGAAATTACCGGTACGTTCTCCATTATTAATACTTTAAATTTCTTAGGACTCGCCTCGAGTGCCCGAACTCTAATACAGACTAAATACTTTATTTTCGTCTCTAGGCTACCTCTCTTTACGTTGTTAATGTAAACGTTATCGTGTAAACGGAATGAAATTAATCCAAGGAATATTAATCGCTCGTCGAAACGTTTATTCGCTAATACCCAGATATATGTATGCAGTAGTCTCGTTCAACGTAATTCTCTTACCGTTAGATAAAACCTTTACGACTTCCGCCAAGTGTGCTCGGCGAGAAACATTAAATTTCCTTCGTTAAATCGATCGTGTCTACTATTTGAACCTTCGCCAGGACAATGGTCGATCACATTATTGATACATTCCGTCAGCATTCCATGTTATAAAAACGTAGTCATTTTATTTAACGAGCGGAGCACGCGCACAGATGCTCGATACATTTGTCGTTCTGTACTTTCTTTTGTGATTTGTGCAACATTTATGTAAATATAATTACCTAGATTAGCGGTTATTCGAGTTTATTTTCCTCGTCCTTAAAATACAATAAGACGTTCCAGTTGTGTTCATCGAGCAGCACTTTAATCCGTTTCTTTTGTAGAAGGAGAAGTAGATGAATCGTTCGATCAACGTGTATTTATACCTTTATCGATATCTACTTAATCCGTATTGATGGACTCGAGGTACTGGGGCAGCGACAGTACCAAGAATCCATTGCACCTCCGAAGCATCTTCAGAGACAAATATTTTTAGGCGATCGAAACTTGAAACGTTATTCCTACATTCCTATTTAGCTTTCTTCGTTTCTCCCTCCGCTTAATTTCATTTCACAGAATTACAGACAGCGAGTAGTAATAGTGGTAATAGTTTACACATCGAATTTCTATGATGAAACCGAAACAACTCGACTCTTTTACTTTTACCTTATGTCTTAAACATAACAGAGGCCGTAGTAGTGAATCCAGGCCGTAAGCAAGTTTAATAATTCATCGCATTAAATAGTTTGTACTTGGATAGTTTTTACGCGTCAGGTAAACGTACGACTAACCACTTACGTTGGACAATAGTCGAATATTACCGCATTATAGCGATTCTATTACGAGAACAGTAATCTAAATAACCGACATTTTTTCATAAACGATCTATTTGGATTTAATGGTAACATTCTCGATAAATTGTATGTGCAAAAAATATTTAACATATATAAAACGCATTGGCAACGAGTAATAATAACAATAATAATAATACTGGCAGTAATAATAGTAATAGTAATAATAATAATAGTAATAATAATTATGATGATGATGATGATGATGATAATAATAATAATGTGATACGTAGATATTTAACGTATTAAAAGAAGAAAGGTTTTCCTGTAGCCGAGAGAATAAATAATTACCGAAGCATAAAGGATCATTATCCGTACGAAATAAAGTATTAAAGATACTTACGACTTGCCGGAGCGGTCAATGGGCTCATATTTGACAAGCACCCGCGGATCGTAATGTTGCCTTTAATACTTTCATAATACTGAACGTAAACGTCTTCTCGACATACGCGTCGCTACTCTGATCGTTCGATCGTTCAACAGAGAAATATATCACCAAGTACCTTAAATTACATTTCATCGTTTAGCAACATAGATAGACATGATAGTATATACTTCTTTCTTTTAATCACAATTCAATGTCTAATTTCAGTGCACGCTGAAATATTTTACTCTAATGTACATCTCATAGTTTACTGATTTACGTACGCAGAAACGACTTTGCAGGAATTTCTATAAATCAATAATATTGTATCCTTCAGGATTAAAATAAAATGGTATATCGTAGGATGTATTTTGAAACAACGACGTCTCGAAGTTGCCTTCACATACACATTTCTCAAGGCGATGCAACTTGCAAGGAGTATTCCCCGTGTACTAGCATTAAATGCGTTTAGCGTTTTAACATCTCTATCGCTACTTATATACACGATACCACTACATATTGCACGCATCCGCGTAAATACTTTATCTTTAAATTGCAAACGAAGTCTTTCCGATATATCTTCCTCCGCCGAGACTATGTTTCCTCGCCGTGTTAAACGATGTTGGCAAATAATCCTTCGTTTCTCTCTCGATCGCTACCGAGAATCAAGTGACAAAAAATGAAAATACCGGTAAAGCAATTTCGTAAGCTCGGGCACTCGAACTTAGACAAAGTAAAATCCAGATTGCACTTCTGAATGTTTATGTGTAAAGTGTAAGTTTGGTGTTAACGCTAAGTTATAGATAACCTAAAGTCGAATAAGTTTTTACATACGGTGCATCCACTCTGCAGTTTTCCCTGAAACAAATGACACAGTTCAGACATCGGGCGACTCGACGCTCGCAATTTCAAGTTTCGATACAGTCATTTATTTTCCGCTTGTCGCTTCTTATTTTCTTTTTTATATACAGGCACTCACAGAAATGTCCGCCCATCCGTGTGTATGATATATTTTATCAGATTGGCTAACATTCTTTTTTCTATTAAACTGTATATACTTCTTATGTAATTGAATGTATTCTACTTTCGAATAACCGATAGGAGTCGTGATTTATGACGATATAATATTATACTTGTAAATGATGATCAAAGTTTAAAAAATATATATATGTAGAAATCAGTGTCGATTACTATATCTAACTGAGAAGTTAACTCATACAGTGTACTTAAACTTAATAGTCACTAAAGAAGGCCAAGAATTAATATGTACAGGATAAATTTCGTAAAAAGTATAAGTTGGTGAACGACATTATTCGGATTAGAATTTAGCACAGGAAAATTTACAAGAATCATTGATTAAGTATCGTAACATAAAATACAGTTATGTCAGATAACTTACCTATAATTTTTAAATTTAAAAATAACGTTTTTTTTAAATAAGTAAAAAAGTTAACATCTATGAGAATTAATTGAACTTTGTAAACATTATTTGTACTTACTCGTCTTCCCACGGGCAAACTTCGTTAACGTTATTGTCACGCTTTCGCTGAGCTGCCGATTGAGCGACAGGCGCTGTCTGATCGCTCTGTTGAGTGTCCGGTTTCCAAACAGGAACAACCTGCGCCTCTTCCAGCAACTCCACGGTTTCCGATTTCGCTTGAGCCAGATCCGCCGAGTCTTTCTCGGCAGTATCAGTCGTATCACTTCTATCGGGTTCTAACTCTTTTCGTTTTAAATCGTCTTCCTCCCTCTTTTCCTCTACCTCCGCCAGTCTCGCGCAACCGTCGTCCGGATTTTCCGTTAACTCGCCCACGATTGCGCTAATACTTATTACAGGAGCTTTAGCCGAAGCTCTCATCGGATAGTCCTTCTCGAAGGACAAGACTTTCGTTTTTATAATGTGACTTTCAGACTCTTCATTGTACGACGCAGGCGGTCGACCGATTTCTGCAAGTTTCACTCTTCTAAAAGTTGAACCGATCGAATAGTTTCTGGCCATCGTCTCGGACCCAGCTCCAGTCCTTTCAGTTATCGTTGGCGCGACACCTGAGAGACAAAACAGATATGGTTTTTGGCATGATACAGAAATAAATATTTACTTCAACGCAATGGGCTTATACTGGAATTTTCTAGCTCCACTTCGGATTTGTATAAAATTGTCGAATCTTGTGGGAATTGATGTTTTAAACAACTTTTAGTAACGACAGTTCTTCAACCTTATAATTTACGAAATAATCGCGGAAAAATATATATATATATATATAAAATAAATTTTAATATATATAGCCGACAATTTAAAATTTATTTCTAAAGAAAAATTGAATATGTCTGACCAGAACTTACATATGCTACTGCTGTGCTGCATGGAGCATGATTTCCGAAGGTGTTCGGAGACCTCCGTCACTGCTAGACTGACATCAGACGAAGAGCTACAGGAATCCAATTGCGTCGAATTTTTGCGAGATGCGCGTGAAAGTTCGACGGATTGCAACAATCCGGCCACATTGCTGCCGCTCTCTTCGAGTTGACCTTCAACTGACAACATTGTCGAAGATGATGTCAGGTGGTGCGGTCCCGCGGAACCCGTGGCGTGCTCTGTACTGGGACCTGGGGCCGTGTCCCATGGGCAAACGTCGTCTGTAGGGCGAGCCATTGCTTCCGACGTGCCAACATCCCTGACAACACGAACTTTATTATAGGATTTAGTTTTCACTTTTCCTTTTCAGCAAAATATCACGACGTTTTCTGTTTGGTTTGGTTGTGTCGGTAGTAGGTCATGCATGTATAGTTGTACTATTTTACAGATATAATGGAAACACAGTTTGCGTAATAATATTTGGATAAGAAAAGATCATGAGTAGTAATGCCTTCTATTTTTACTGGTAAGGATAGATCACAACGGTGGAATTAAATCGACTTTTTACTAGTAAACACACGAGGAGAACACTGCTAACATGAAACCAGAGAATAGACTATACATTAGTTGCATGTACTGTTAATTAGGTAAATTTGTTTCACTCGCGGATTGTTATTTTTTTTTCTCGAATACTTGTACGCTAAGGAAGCTGCCATAGTGTAACGTTACAACGGAAATACTGTATTCACTATACTTGTACTCTTTGAAATGAACGACTTACAATATATGAATTGGTATCTTTTACAATCGAAAATATAACATTCCATTAAAAGTATATGTTGCTTTTGAAATGTACCGACAATGAGTGTATCTCACTACGAACTACACAATAGCTATTGTTATAAACCTTTTTCTATGATATAGAATGTTTTATATATATATAAGTAATTTTCTACATTATTAACTTTTCCAAATTCTTGGATGGGTTTGAATTATACGAAACAAGATGGATGTCTCAACAGAGTTTCATCTTCAGATAATTCAAAATGCTGAAAGATATTTTTAAACCCTGCATAAATTATTATAAAATATATACAAAAATATAATAAACATTGTAGAAATCTTTGAACATTGAAATCTTACGTGTCTTGAAAATTGTCTTTAATTCTTTATAAATAAAGGAAATACCTCGCATCTATATTATCGAAGAGTGCAGTTGTTTATATCATTATACACACCGATAATCAAAAAACATTTTAATTTCTTTCGACATAGGACATTCAAGAATTTCTATACGCCTCATAATTTTCGGACACATCGAACGGAAGTGTAATGATATCGTAACATTGTTCAAGCAACAGAATTGCAGGGAAAGTAAATTCAATATGTACAACAGATATAATACTGAGATTATGAAAGTCAAAATACTATAGCATAAGGAAATTATTAAAATAGATGTTCAAAAAATATCGACCATTTCAACATTGACAAATGAGTCACATTAAAAGTGTAGAAACATTTACATACACGCATAGTGATTTCTTTAGAAGTATTAAACACTTTATAAAAAGAGACACTGAATAACAGGGGTTGTGAAGAAATTGAAATCAGATCAAGAACTATATATTCGCATACTTATGTAAGGAAAGTATGGAATATTTCGAGGACTTACTGAATACTATGCGTGATAGGCCTTGTAGAGATTTTTATGAATCGAGCCAGATCTCCCCTGAAAATACCGTATTGAAAAAACCCTATTGATCAGTTATTGCTGTTTATGAAACGTAATTCTCTAATACTATCAAAAATTATATCTTCATTATGAATTAACTTATGATTAATAGCTATAAGGTGCCTATATTCGTTGTTATTCGAGCGTTTGTATAATTCCTAGCAATCAAAAGGTTATTGTAATACGTAACACATCGTATCCCGAACGTCCGAAATATGTTAGTATCGATTAGAATTATTAGTGTAGGCCTACGTGCCGAGAACAACGCCTTTAAGGATAAACCAACTTAAACGATCGAATTTACAATAACCAGACTCGCAACATCGAACTTTGTAAATAAAGTCATTGTTAATTCAGTGGGCTGAGAGGGTTGCTTTACATTTGAAGTTTCTGCACTTCTCGCCAGTGCATCAAGAGCCGATATATCGGCCTCCGGCACTAAAAGGGTTAAACCGTACGAAACATTTTCTAACTTTCCTTAGAATAGGACATTCTTAATATATGCTTGACACGCATAGATGTATATATTCCGGAGATACTTTTAAAAAGAATGATACTCATTGAAGCATAACTATCGTAAGTTGTACAATTTTTCTATTTCAATTTTACAAATAACCGTTTGAAAGTAATAATGACAGTTTTACGAGTAACGTTCAATAAAGATCGAAGTGTTTTTGTTATATTAGTCGACAAATAGTACTGGTTGGTAATCACGAACATTCTCAACATTTAAAATGTCCGTTAACGAAAGTATCTACATAGATATATGCAACGAGTACCATTCGAATATGGGAAAACACGAAAAATGTTGTGCACCTGTATGGTATGTCGGTAAGATTCGACTGACTGTGAGAATGTGGCACTCGGGGCGTCGACGTTGTATCTCTAACACCGCAAATAGCTAATTCGTGGGCAGATCCAGATAGGCTCCGATCGCTTCCCCTGCGTTTGCCACCGACTGTACTACCTGCAGCGTGTTGCAAAGTGCTAGGTGTTGTGGTTGACGTCGAAGAAATTTTCTTCTTCGTTTGTCCACCGAAGTAAAAAAATCTGAAATATCAAGGACCAAATATTTCCCTTTTCTCATTGAATTCATTCAATCTAAATGTATGTAAATGTATGTTCAGTTAAATTAATTAGAAATTTGTCGGTTATATTATTCAAAGTACAAAAGAACCAAAGAAAATCTTAAAATACACATACATATATTAATATAGTAACAGAGGAAAAATTACTGCAAGCGTACCTCTTTTTTTGTAAGGGTTGCGCGCCAGCTGTTAAAAGGTTGCGGTACTGATCGGAACGAATAAATCTAGGATAACAATCCTTCTTCAAAAGTAGCGTATAAACATGTTCAGCAGCGGCGTCGAATGTAAATCGGCTTGGATTTTTCATCTCTTGGTGAACCTTTTCCATCGTTTTTCCATCAATATTTATTTCGCAGGGAGCTCCGGGAGCCAGAAATTCTCTAAACCGGTAATGACAATTATACTTACGAGTATAGTATATAAGTACTTACGAGGTATAATTATACATACTTGAAGATTTCGTTGACCTTATCGGGTATTTGTGCTTGGAAACTGTGTCGTAAGTCTTTAACTGCCAACCAAAACCGTATGTTTTCGTGACTATACTCTTTTCTTAAATAATTCGTGAACTCTTGCAAACCTGTTAGAATACAACAGAGCATAATTTTTACTTTATTTATAACCTTTCTTTGCGCTCGCATGAAAACAAAATTAATAACGCGTATTAAGTGAATATCAGGAAAAATGAGTTTTGGAAAAATCGAATCCAATATGAAAGTTTAAAACATCTTTACTTTAAATTTGAATACCTTAAAAAAATATCTTATACTAATTGTAAGATTCTACTAGGAATCAAAAATATTCTGTGTTCCTTTACTGTGTGTACGAGTGGGTATGGTCAAAGTGATCGATTGATTAAAAGCTTTGTGTACATCGTAACCCCCCTCGCCCCTCGGAACAATGTTAGTTTTATTTGAAATATTTTGTCTAGACGTCTAGACGAATTCGTTCGTGTATTGCACAGTGACGTTCAAGGACATGCAAGGTTAGAAATGGAAGAAACATTATTATTATTATTATTACCAATTAAATAAATAATACAACAATAAATAGAAATAAATAGATTGGTCGTTAACGTTTAATTATACTCAACTCTCAAAATCTTTTGCTATATTAATTAGCGGCTTGCTTGAAATTATTTGTTTAACCAGTTAACTGCGTTTGACGAGTACACACTCGATTTTTTTATTTTATTGCACGCACGAAACCAGAGATTTTTTAAACTAAATTCAACAGTTAACAGATGGAAATGATTATTCGTTGCAACGAATTGCGAATAAACTCTTCGTTTCTAACTAACGAATGTGAAATAAGGTTCACCGTGACTAACGTATAATTTTTCGACAAATGAAAAATGATGGGTTATTCATAAAAAAACTCGGTTTATTCGAGTGTACAGAAATATGTAATTTAATTTAAAAAGATCGTATCGATACTAATATTATCTATACAGTTTTAAAACGAAATGAAATGCGTTTAAATTGAATATTATTCACCTGTAGGATCAGACATTAACTCTTCCATCGATAAGGCCCAACGTTTAACACGTTTTTCGGTTGGAATTTCCACTCTGCATGTACAGAAATACCATGAATTAACAAAGGAAAATGGTAGATATCTTATTAATCAAATTAACTTTTTTGTAAATACAATTTTTATACTATACTATACTATACTATACTATATTATACTACACTACATTATATTATGCTACACTATATACTGTATTCTAATATAGAAAATTAATTATTTTCATACTAACACAAAACTGTTTAGTTGCCAAAACGTTTGATCGTCAGTGATCCAAGGATTGGATGGTTGCGGTTGTACAAACATTGGATCGTATTCCACGTACGTTTCGAAATACGATTTTAAATTTTCAATTGCAGTTGAAACCTTTATTCTTGTGCGTGTTAAGCTGTTCTCCAAAAAGGCCACCTAATTTTAAATAAAAATTAAACATGCGTCATTATTAAAGTATACGATAACTCATACTGTCAACACATAATGTTATATCTACTAATTTAATGAGAACAATATTACAATGAAACTTATTAACTTAGAACAACGAGTAATCAATACAAGTTTTTTTGGATTATTGGAATTACTATTAAAATTCGATATTAGATACATATCTAAATCGATTAAGATGGAACAAGATGATTCACCTCGCGCTGCAGATCGGTTAAAGTACGTTTGCGCGATGGCGGACGCGAAAGTCCAGGACGAAAACGCGTAGGTACAGGTGCTATGTCGAGACTACTGAGGCAACCAGGCGGTGGCCTATAAACTCTCCAAAAGGCTCGTTCTTGGGAATCACTCACTATCTTATCCCCTTTTTTTCGCTCCTTCGACAATCGAACCTGAATCCACAAAATAAATACCATATCAAGGAGTCATTTGCTTAAACGTGCAAAATAGTAAGTCAGATGAACTTTTACACATTTGCTTAACATACAGGGAATTAAAAAAGAATCTGACATTTGGAAGATGTATAATATTACCTATATACAGTAGGTACTCACCGACAGATGTAAGATAATACATCTAATCAACATGGGTCTTAAAAGCAATTGTTTCTACTCGTAATATTGTTCGTAATATTTATTCAGTTCAGATACTGTTATTCTTGTACTGTTAACAATCAATAATAGAAGTTTATTCTTTATCGAGAAAATTGCTTTTAGGACCTATGTTGGTTAGATATTTTTTATACCTCTCGATATGTATTATATGTCTTTCAATTCGTTTTCTTATCGGGCAACCCCTTCTTTTTTACAGCCTATGTATATACTTCTTTAGTAATTTACATGAAACATTCTTTAATTTTTCCTTCGTTCCTTTCTTGTAAGTATAATACATATCTAATTTCATGGGTACACGTAAACGGTAAACGATTAATTATTTACCTGCTCTTCGGCTTGAAGTTGTATAGCTTCCCACTTGTTTTGTAAGTTTCTACGTAAGCTATTTAAAGCCTCCTAAGAAGATAAATTATTTCATGAGATAATGAATTTAATGTAATAACGGTATATAAAATCAACGGGATTTACATACGATCTCGTAATCCTCAAGAGCATGTCGTTGTTTGTTTCGCAGAGTTCTCTTAGCCAGATAAATAGCATACTCCACATTATCAGGGGTTCTATGTTGCCATGGCCAATAATATGGTGTCTACACATTAAACAGAATGATACGTGTTAATGGTTGAATAATTCACATCATAGTTATATTAATTTTGTGTAGTAAGTTTTTTGTAAAATCTAGAAAAACAAATGAATCGAGCAAAATCAATATATATACAGTGTGTCCCGCGACTCATGGTCAATCAATTAGGAGGTCACTCTACATGTAAAAATAAGTCGAAAAAATAAAATAAACTTTCTTCCTGCGAGTCTTCGTTTTCGAGAAAATTAAGGTCGAAAATTTACTAGTACTGAAAAATTTACTCTATATAAAATATTCAAAATCTTCCATTTTTGACCTTGCATGACCTTGAGTGACCTATATATAATATATATAATATTTATACGAATAAACAAGTCTACATTGTTGATTGAATTTCGCAAATTGATCAAAATTTTGTATTAAACGTATAGTATTCGTATATAATTATACTCGCTAGCATGACGAAAAGACCGTCGTAATCTTAAAACACGACGAAAAGATAACTTTCGTTAGAAACATTTCGTTACGCGAGTCAGCCAATAACAAAAGCGGTCGAAACCGAGGCATCAAGATTCAGCTGTGTTCCCTTGCACTTGTCCCTTCGGTTTGAGGGACCAGTTACCAAACGCTGTCGTAGGACAGTATATACGCGCTTCATTCTCACAGCCCAGTCGTTCGGTTCTGAACATTCTTTCTTCGCACTTGTTCATCTACTCGAAATCATCCGGCCTACAGTCACACTTTCCCCGAACGTACCGGCGCCACCCAGTCGCGAGACGACACCGGTCACACGGTATAGCCCATCGACCATTCACACTCTACACGTATAAAAATCAATCGATGACGTTCCCGATTCTTTCTATTTACGTTACACGAGTTTCGCACGATGATACTAAGGGTTAAGTATTAAATGAAAAATGAAACGCTCTTTCAGAGTCACCTGTCACGACAGCGGGCTGTCTAGTGTTTTTTCCATCATAGAGAGTCATCCTTACCATATCTACTTTTATTTGTTTATATTAAACATTACATAGAGTTGCTAGTTAGCATCCCTTCTTGCAGCGTACAATTTGTAACATTGTAATAAGCAATTAAGAGTTATAGCTTATAGATGCCAAGGCTTAAAGCGAAATCGCCTTATTAGTTTACATTTCCATACAACTTGTAGATAAAAACACTTCCAAAAGTATACTCCGATTAACTACTCAGAGTTAACCTCGAAACAATCAATTTTAGATGAACATTAGTATAGGAAAACCTGGGTCTAAAGAATATTATGAATGCCTATCCTAATTGTCTATATAAAAATCGTTTAAATCTCTAATTTCCAAGATCTAAGTGAACGGACATTTGTACATTTGTACGATGCACTTTGATTTTCATTGAAATTTATAATTAAATTTAGTTTAATTTAGTAATTTAGTAATTTTAAGTAAACGGAATACTACTGAAAACTTTCTGATTCTTATAGCTGACGTCATTTTTTCATAATTTTGATATACACAAGTGGAAAATTAATACAATGCCGCGTGTACGAGTCCCCGACTACCCAAGCACTGTCGAAGACTAAATAATCGGTTGAAAATTTCCGTTAAACATGATGCACGTTTGTGTTTGAAGGGTTGAAAGATAAATTACTATCCATAAAACGTAATGCTTGTAAGACTTATAAGACATACTCTCGAAAATTGTTTGTCATATATATTATACACTTACGCACTTATCTTTGAATGAAATGAAAATAATTTAAAATGATTCTGCGTGTAGATTTCGAATTCATGAGAGAATTTTAGACTTTTACGCACCTGAAATCTATACAGAGAACTATCATCTTTTACGGTGAGTGTCTTGGAGTCATTTACCGGGAAGAAGTAGCCATACTGGCAGAGTTGATTGGCAATGTGGACCGCCTCTACTGTCAACACAATAATTTACTTTTACTAAACGTAAGAGAACGAATATTAGAACAACTACTGAAACATACGAAATTTACATGCAAATCTATAATTTATTGCATTACATATATATATACACATACATGTGTTGCATACAAATACAGTTACTCATATAAGCAGTTTAGACGAATCATAAAGATATAAAAGTGTATATTCTTGGAACGAATAATAAGAAATCATAAAGCTGAAATAAAATTGCTTTCGTATTGTAAGTGACGATTTATATCCAACAACTAATCTGGCGCAAATATTTGGAGCAGTGTAAGCTGTGTTAGCATAATAAAGCCATATATATATTACAGTGTTAAATGTGTCTTATTTTACTAACATTTTATATATTATTTATAGGTTGAATGAATTAATGAACAAATATAGAATAGAAAATTGAGTACGGGACAGAAACACGTTGCAACTAAAAGCAATTAATTAACGACTTATTTTTTCAATTTCTTTATAATTAGAATGAATTAAGCAGAACTTATAGATAAGTAATTATTATAATGCATTTCAATTTGAAAATAATTCATACGATATATTTTATTTTGCACGTGGGAGAGACAGTTAGAGTGTAATACTTAATCACGAAAATATAATCTGTGTCAATACCTTCTCTGATAACTGTATGTTAAGTATAGCCTGCGACTGGTATGGTCAGCAAAAGCTTATCAATTATAAGTAAGAGTTTTAGTTTCGTTCGATCAATAACTTCAGAGGAGAAAATTGTTCCTCTAGACAATTCCCGGGAATCTCACAACTATATAACAACTTCGTATACACATACAGTTACTCGTGAAAATTTTCGAACTGTCGTGTCTATAATTGTCAGAGAATAAAATTCACGCGATACATTTACACGCGGGAAGCGATGATATAATAGATTAAAGATTCAAGTCTCGAGAGTGTATAAATAAAGTTCGAAGAAAATCCAATAGTGTGGTATATACGAGTAACAATATAAGGAGGTTATGAAATTCGTAACATTCTTAGAACTTACAGAACGACGGAAAGTAAATTCCGCACCTAACACAATCGCAACATTTTGGTTCACGTTAGGATGCAATTTGAAACAAGAATGTTTCATAATGAATACCAATTTTCTGTATTTCTGAAATTTGGCTGGTGGAAGAATCGGAACCGGTAAGAATGTGAGTTGGTGGTAAAATTTCATAAGAAGGAAAATCTTACGAGGAAATCACGAAACTCGCAAATAGAAGCAAATCGACTATGTTACATTGCGCGATTAGGAAGTGAGAAATGAAGGGGATAATGTAAACAACGATCGTATAAGACTTGGATGAAGAAATTGTCTCCTAGAAAAGAAAAACTCACTGAATGTGAAACAAAACTTGCTACGATGATCGCTAGTAGTATTAGCAAGCATGTACAGGCCGAATTGCCTCGCAGAATTATCCGGAAACACGGTTACCATAGGGGAATACCGCGGAAGAAGACGTACATCGGAACAATATACAATAAGAAAGAAACATTAATACAGTCCAGAAAATCCTGTCTTACAGATGTCACAATTTCGACAGATCGCCCGTAGCAACTCAACCTTGAGATGAGGTGGGCTGGGAAAAACGCCTATAGACTCCGATTGGAACGCATGGAAGAGTAAATGAAAATAGCGAGTACGGTGACTGCGTTTTCTCAGCTGTGAATCTACATTTCGATCGATAAGCGATAACGATCGCATTTTCAGACCGGAAACTCATCGCGTAACAAGCGAGGACCCTAATTGAATACGCCCTACCGTTTGGCGGTATATTTTAGATACACCCTACACAGTATATAGGAGGAATTTTTAAAGAGAAAAAGGTGTACATATAAAAAATTGTAAATCATTGTTATGGGTGTTAAATGTATTTTAAAATTAGACTCTCAGATTTACAAATACTACAGGAATTCTCTTCATTTTACGAAAAAAATCTTTCAATCTCTGTAATCTTTCGATATGCATGTATATATTTGAAGGGTTAGCTGCAAGAAGGAAGCAATTCTATTTTTAACATATTTTTTGTTAAATATGCAATTTCACTTTTAAAAATGTGATTTTTAATCACATAAATACCCGATTATTCTTTCCGCTGATTCTTCTAAGTATTCCGTTCTATACCAGATAAATTTACAATCGGCTGGTATCGGTAACAAAACAATCAATTTGCACATACATGCCTAGTATCAATTGTTAATTTTCACGTCTTATATTTTTTTTACGAATTATCGTACTCAAATTGTAAAAGATAAAATTTAATTCGATCTCCTTAAACTTTTAGTTCCACTGAATATTTACTGAAACAGCGACAAACGATAAATCAAATGAAAAATAAAAATGCGAGTCCACTCCATATCTAATCGACAGTATGAATTTAATAAAATACTTTTAATTAATTGCGTGTGCAAAGTATTCTGCACCGTGTTACTGAGAAATCACTTGAAATTTAAAAAGTACACGATTATCATTAATTCATAACCTTTCTCAACAAAAAGGTCTATCTAATAAATCGACAAAACGTATCGCACGCATACTATAAATAATCAAACACTCCGAATATACCAAAGCAGCATCGCTTACAAACGGAATGTAAATTAAACTACAATCGTGCGGAAACGTTATAGTTACAGATTTGAATTTGATCGTAGATTGAAAACATTGATAAAGATTATCTAGTATATCCTAGCTCGAAGATCCGAACAATTAGTGTTAACAGCATATTTCACTATTCAGAACAATGAACATCTAAATTATTAAAATTCTTTCATGACAAGCTGTCTAGGACCAAAAACATGCAAGATGTTTCAAAGATCAATCGAGCAACAAACATATTAAAATATAAAAATAAAATATTCTGATATTCAATTGATATACTATTTTCGTTCAACATTACGGTCTGAACGATTTAATAACGCATAACATTCGAAAACATTTGAGAACTCAAAAATCCCAACCTGTAGATACACTAAACAAAATGACCTTTTAAAACACATTAAGATGCCGAATCTCATTTTCAGCATTAAAAAGCATTCGTAACCTCGATCAGTTCAATATTCTTGCTCGTCTTGTTCGCGTAAATAGGTTACCGTTAACCCTTTCGGTACGGTGCGGTAACAACAAACATCGCTTCATCTAGCCGGATTATTCTTGTTATTTATCATCGGTAGAAATAACTTATTTTCGAGAAATGTATCTGCATTTTCACCTAACCAAACGAAAACATTATACACCATGGAATATAAACAATTGCGTGAATCTTCCGTCTGCGACTTCGCTACTAATATTAGAACGCGTCTATAGTATTTTGGAAACTATACGCAGAAACGATAAATTCATCTTTATCACCATTTTTCGTAGTATTTGTGAAAAATTCCGTGCTATGGTGGTAACTAGAAAATGTAAGCGATACTAACGATAAGAAGTCATAGACACTAGCATACGAGACTGTTAAATACCAGTGTAGACCTACCGTTTGTACGCTTCGACAACTATTGTTTCGGTGTGATCAAAGTTGGAAGGTAGCCTTATCATGCTGAAAACTACAGTGTAAGCGTTGCCCACCGATGATACGAAAGCAAAAATATCTGACATGACTTGCTAACGAATTTTGCCTGACATATACCTGTCGGATCGACCGTACCGAAGGGGTTAAGTGCTAAATTAAAGATAGGAAACATAAAGGAAATATCAAAAGAATGTGCGTGAAACAGTACAATAAGTCATGGAAACCCCCTTAAAATATCCAATCTCTTATTGTCGGTACAAACAATGCAACGAAACAAAATTGTAACGATGGGCTTGTAGAGTGACAATTACGCAGCCAGAATTCAGCCGCACCATTAATACGTTAAGCGCCATGTCAGTCACCGGTGACTGACGCTTCTGAATGACTAGAAAACAATCGTAACATACAAGACAACCGATGTGAAGTGAAAATATTTAATAACGTAATTATGTTGATAATAGTGTAACGCAAACGTTGCAACGCCGAACAATTCACAATTGTTCCTACTTTCCTTACAAAAGACAAACTTTATGGGGAAACGCTTAAGATTTTCGTGGCGCTTAACGTGTTAAAGTGCCAGTACAAGATTTTTCTATCGTAGCGTGGCATGCATTCGAACTGTAATACCTGATTCTTCGATGGAAAGCCGCTCCATCAGCCATTCGATGAGATCGTAACCTGCAACACGCAGGCAGCCTACTGTAGTGTCCTGACCATGATAGCCGCTTACGTTTACCCCGCAACGTAGATACCGATGACACTCACCCATGAAAGCTGAGGGGATTGAGGTAAGAAATTGCTTTTGGCTGCGCACGGGTACCCCGTTTTCAGGGTCTTGCATCTCCCGCACCAGCCCCTCCATCTGTAATTAATATCGTCGATGAATTACTTTCTGTTCTGTCGTTTAAACAATTTTAATCCTTCGCACTCCGCTGCCCCCTCTTAGGGGACATTGAAGTTTATTAGCGATTACGGGGAATTAAGTTATTTCAGCGCAACTTTTTCAGACATGCATGTTTCCCTGAAGTTCTCTCTTGAAATGCCACAAGAAATCAAATCGAAATATAGTAATATTACTGAGATACATAAAAAAAATGGCGGGTTTTGTGTCAGAAGAGAACGCGAGAAGCGTGTTCACGACGGTCCGAGCACTTCTCGGCGCTACTTGAAAAGGGCGATAAGGAGAGTTTGTGGAATATTTATATTTACAAATATAAATAAACAAATTTAAAACTGGAGGAAAAGATTTTCAAAGCTGAGCTCGGTCTGGTTTGAAGCGTCGAGCGGTGTAGATAGATCTAACGAGTGAGAAAATCACACATTAAGTTAACCAGCCCCAATTTAACCGAAATGAAATATCGAATATATTTTTGCGAATATGTTCGAGACTGGCCGATCAGCAGTAACACGTACATACAGACAAGCACCGTTCAGAATCGAGTCTCCGTCAATGTATTTCAAGGTCATCCGAAACAGTTGGGAATCGTTAATGTTGATTGAAAACAGCCGATCGAGCGCGCGGACATAACCTCACGGAAGTTATGCGCCGAGAGGGGTGGGATGGCAATGAAAGTTACCATCGAAACTCTTGCAGAACATACTCTGCGAGCACGCTCGAGAGATCGAATACGGTTCCGCCTCCCCGCGGCTCCAACTGGTAACGGTTCGCCAGCAATATTCCGCCTCGGCGGGTATTTCCGAGTAAACGGCTAAGTGGGTCGCGTCCCGCAAGGGACGGTCTTCCCTTCTGATGATCCTTAACACGTTGAGTGCGGCGCCGATTTTGCTACACTTTCCGCTCAGGCGGCAGCGCGTGAGCATTTGATGCCGAACGCTAAACTGGACCGCGCGACACGGCGCAACAGATTCCTTTTTTTCTGTCTCTTTTGTCGTTCGCACTGTGACAATGGTGCAGGCACTGCACATGTATACAATGTATAAACATAAGATAACGGGGTGGGGAATGCCAGAGAGACAAAGGTGCGAACGCCAAGAAACGACCAGTCTGAAAAAGCCACGGAGTACGCTAAATTTTAACATAAATTCTTTAATTGTCATTAATAATTTATGATGTCGACCAAACGAGAAGTTCGCTGTCAGTCCCTAGAATCCACGCCGCCAAACGAAAAGTCTACTGTCAGTCCTCAGGGACTGACGCCGCTTGAACGGAAAGTTCACTGTCAGTCCCCAGGGACTCAACGTGTTAAACGATGAAGGAGGGGTTTTTCCGTGCACGGCATGCGTGCGGGCGCCGGGTGCACGCGCGTGCTCCTGCTAGTGGCTTATCCCTCAACGAAAAGTAAAGCCGAATAACATTACGGCCCAACGAAGCCGATATAAGGGGAACCCCGAGGTGCGCTATGCTCGGTAGAGCGTCGCTGATACTATCCGTTCATTGAAATTGATGAGGTTTACCGTTTAACCTTGATCAGGCCCCGGCGTCTTTTTCGACCTAAATCTAGCGTAATTTTTGCTGTGATTCTCTTTAAGGGATGGATGAAAGTTCAGAATTATAGACTATAGTTTCGTAAGTATCTCGGAAACTGAGGACGTGTGGCAGCAATATGCGTACAGGCACGTATAAGCACAGTTCTTTCTAGATACTTTTCGGGCAGCCATTGTACATCCTAGGTTAAACACTATTAAGTGTTGGATCGAATAAAATAGGTATATATTTTATTACATTCATTTTCGGCTTTCGGACGAGAGCCGTGTCCAATAGGAATATTTTCCCAACGTTTCACCGGCATTGCAGCTGGCTTCATCAGGGGGCTAGAGGCATACTGACACTGGTGCGTCTTGGAAGACTTTTTTTAAATATGGACCCTTCGTGTTCCGGATCGGTGGTTACCAATCATTTTTAATTGTCCAATTTTTAATTGGTTAGCTGGACCACCGATCCGGAACATGAACAGGATCCATATTTAAAGAAAGTCTTCAATATTCCTGTTGGACACGGCTCTCACTCGAAAGCCGAAAATGAATGTAATGATATTCCAGACCGTGGAAGCGTCGAGACTACTATCAGGTATATATTTGAAATACGCGTACCTTATCGAAGGCATAAGGCCTATGAACACGTGGCTCCTTCTCCTTCTGCTGTTGATTGCTAGAGGCCTCCATCGCGATCGTGGCGGCCCTCTGCGACGCTGGCAGGAGCAGTGGCGATATTGATGGCGGAGGGGGCTGGGGAGCTGGGCCGGAGACGGGTTTACCCGAACTCCATGGGGCTCTGGCCCCATCCCATCACTCCAGTCACCCCCGCACGCCCACTGAAAAATATTTAGAAAAAGGTTTGCTTGAAGCATGTGTATCTCACAATGAAAAGAATCTGGTAATGCATCGAATGTTTTAAGGGGACAATTGTTTCGCGTCGCGATTCCAGCTCCAAATGGGTTGTAAACTGTTCTATCAACCTTTATCGGTCGTTTAACAACATAATTATTATTCGACGCGGAGGAGTTTTAGAAGAGAAGTTATGTAGGGTATGGATGGTATAGTGTAGGGATGTAATGGTCCTCTTTATTCATTTAACCATAGTCTATAAATTAAAAGTTATATTAGGGCAATTAAAAACCTAGCCTCTCCAACGAACATTCGCTTCGCATCTCGAATATCTAATAACAGAATATGTACTTTTTCAGCCATTAATAAGACATTGTCGATGCGCCAACAAACCAAGCACATAGGAATTACTGTTGCCAACCAATCGACTGAAATCCATTCTTTTCCGGTTAAATACGAAAGAATTATTTTCGCTAACACGTGTCCCACGATTCCCATATAATAATAGAGAGAATTCTCGACAAACTTCATACTAACACATTAACGTCCGGAAATATAAGAATACGATTTTCATTGATCGCTCATGAAATGCCAGAGACATATAAATAGGGTTTATGCACTGTGCATTACAGCCCGGCGACATATAAATATCTATTGCAACATATGTGCTAAAAATAATACGTCTTATCAAAAAAAGGTTATAAAAATTGAGAAAAACGCACTGCACATTTGAATTTGGCATAAAAGACGCAACATATACTCATATATTTTATTACCTATCTATCGCGTATCATTATTTGCAGCTGAGCGATTATAGATATGCGAAACCTTAAGCTCAAACTAGTGAAATGAAAATTAATGGTACTTCTGTATTAGAAAAATTAAAGATCTCAAAGAACGTTGCGTTGGGTGCTGTTATATATTATACATATCTATTTACATATGTATCTAATCGTAAGCGTAGAATTAATTCACAGGTACAGAGACGTCACATGTAATATTTAGTACGCACACTGAACACGCGATACCTGTTTACAGTGGACAACACGTTAGCTTTCAATGTTTACTCAGGATTTGTGACACGGGCAATGACTCCTAACTTCAACGAAGACTTCTAATTGTACACTTTCTAACTTCTAACTTCAAAGATATTGGACTACAACATTCGGTGACCACATGGGAGCACAATTGTATCAAAATCTCGTGTGAACATCGATGCGTTGGAAATTTCTGCTTCGAAGGGTATAAATTCATAGCGGTGATGATTCTTCAAGACCGTTACGTCATGCAAGAACGAAATTTAAAGAAAATCCTCGAGATTGCCGAATCGTCGACCACCCCTAAGCCAGAGGGCTACTGCATTCACTCCCTTCAATGGAAACGAGCCCCGAGCGCACTTGAAGGGATTGCGGACTCTCCGGGGTTTTTAGTAAATGAGTTTCTTGGACAGAAGAATTTTAGTTGTAAAAGGAGAATTTTCGAAAACTCGCAGCAATTTAACATTAGCGGAGTCTTATAAATAGTTAGGGTAATGCTTAATAAAGGAACTCAGGTTTTGTTTCTAATCAGACCTAATGTTTACAACAAATTATAGTAAATATAGCAGTACTGCGGTTCCTCTCGCACTGAGCAGGATTACTATAGCGACGACTAGTCATCAGTAGGGTAAAACTAACCTGTCTCACGACGGTCTAAGCTCACGTTCCCTGTTGGGTGAACGGAATTGACAATTAGCTTGCTTTACTTAGATATTTATATTACACAAAAATGTCAATTATCCACAGAAAACTTTTCAAACTATTCTTAAAAGGTTCCTTTGACTTCAAGAGATGTTTTCATCTGTTTATAAAAATGCCTGTTAAATGTTTTCGCAAGAACTACACACCGCGAGTTTGTAAGTTTTGTCGATTGATTCATAGTCTGTGTGCGAGTAGCCAAAAATTTAGGGTACCCGATATTCGGGTCGGGTCGGGTCGCGTAGAGTACCAAACAGCAGGGGAATATAGGCTGATCTTTTGTTTCCTCATAACCAAAGGTCTATTTAAAATACTTCGAAAAAGCGTTTCACGCATTTATTGCTCCAGATACTTTATTATTACGATTACGAAACAAAGCATTCCATTTTACCCTACTTTCCCTAGATGTGCAAGAACCCGCGAATTTCAGGCATCCGATACTCGGTTTCGTAACCGCGAACTGAGATCGTTCGTTTTTTGTATACATAAAATATAAAGAGCAGGGTAAAATTAATGTTTAATAAGTGATATATTTTATTTCATGTTAACGCGTAAGAAGATAATTGTTCCGCGTTATCTGATAATAACCTTGTTCTCTTTAAAGTAACTATATTGTTAGCCGTTGAAGATATTCATTCATTAACTACACATGTGTAGCACGAAGAGCAATGTAACGTCGCGCTGTTGCTCTTCGTTACATTGGAAACCTCGCATAATTTTAACTTTAAATGACACAACGGAGCAGTCGTGTTTCCATATTCGGCCCACAATTTCTGTTCACAATGCAGACATTCCGCCTTCCTCTGATTTATTTTCCGAAATTGCTTCCAAGCAGAACTCTTTCTACGTTTCTGCCTTTGCACTGTATTTTATACATCTACTTGTGCTTCATTCGCACTTTCACTATCGCTGCTAGTATACATTTTTAGTTTTTTTCGGCAGAGGGTAGGTTCCACCCCCGCTCCCTACAGACGTCAGCCCAACTAATACCAATTAACTTTCAGTATCCATATTATAAGGAACAACTCCAATAAATGAAAATGTAGATTCAAAAGAAGAATCAAGATCAACATATTTTTGCGAATATCTGGAAAGCTAAAGCCGAGCAATGGTAACGTATACAAAGGACAGTTGTAAATGATAGGATGTAAATAATTAACACGCTTCTTTTCGTAAAAAATAATTACAATAGTTCTGTATTTATTTAAGTACGATATATAAGGCTCGAGAAAATTGCAGAATATTCGAAAGCAAATGGAAAGCAACAATCGTCTTCTATAAAAGAATACTATCCGCAGACGACGTCTACTTTTTAATTCGCTCAGGGACCAACTTTGATCAGTCAAACATTCCAACATTCACCTTTTTTTCTAGCCGTACACAGCATTTATTTTATGGATGATCGACATCGCAAATAAAATGATACGATAATAGTAACTGACTGTGCCGTATAGTAAGCTTGAATAATTGTTAATAAGTGTCAATTTCTATTTTCAAACTTAGGTGTCGTACAATCTACCAAAATAAACAAAACTATATCGAAAACTACATTTGCAAATTTTCCAATAATATGTATCACTGTACCTACACATGTAATCAACAGAATTACGTCCGGTACCACTCGAAATTCATCATTCAATGTAAATACGTTCATTAAATACTCCGAAGAGGGACAACATGTTACAGCTTGTTTTAAGTAAAGTTCCTGTAAACGGGAAATTTACGAAAAAAGACAAAAAGGGAGATTAAATACAGAAAAAGAAAACGATTTATATAGTAGAGAACAGAGGAGGAAAAATCTCTCAAAATGAATAAATATTTTGTGTCGGACACTTTCACATTTGCATAAACGTAGAATACTAAGATCACCTAGCGCGTTTACGCTGTTTGGTTGGGCAACTTTGTAAACAACAGCTGACTTTCATGAAAAAAACACAATCGTGAAGAGTTACGGGTGGGCGCAGCTCGATAACAGGAAAGTGCATTCGCATCGTTCGACTTTCGTTGAATCGTTACTATAGCAATGGCCATGCGAAATAACTACATATATAGGAAGAATAACAATAAGCGGCCTCTACTTTTCCGAATGGTAGTTCAAAATTATATCATTGATACCGAGTGTCTGAACGCGACACAACAAATTTTTCGTTAACGTATACGTTTCGTAAGAAAACTTACAGATGGATCGTGAAACAAATGCACCACATTTAAACACACACACACACACACAGAGGCACACACTTGTATGTATACGAACGAAACACGAAACACAAAGAGTCTTAAGAAGAAATTTATTACCTAGGAAGCAATCGATTCGCGTTCAGAATTCAATTTCTTCGTTGGTCGTTCAAATTTCGGTAAGACGGCAAGAAATTACGAGGTGACCCGGATCGCATTCTCGAAGCTTTAGATTAGCCGTTCGGAATACGTGTTCGATATTCATTGCAGCATTTCCATATGTACAAGCTGCGATGCCTTCTTCGATGTCAGCCACGTAAACGTATATAAAAACTGTACGGAGAAGTGCAGGGATCGAACCGCGAAATCATTCTAGACGAATCGCACTATGCGATGGAATCGTGATACAGGACACCGCCTTTTCTTCTAGTCCGTCGTTCCTCCGGTCTAATCTCCATTTCGACGATCAACCGACTGGACTGCACGGGGGTTGCGAAAGAAAAACAATTAGCTAGGTTATCCTTGACACAGAGGAGGCATTGATATTCACAGGATTCACTCGGCGGACAAGGACGAAGGAACGTCGCTAGCGTTTACGTGACGGAATGCGAAGCGAACCAGCGGCAGCGAAAGAGAGAGAGAGAGAGAGATAGACAGACGGACGGAACACAATCAAAGTGGTAGCACGACAAAGCAGAAACTGAACGGAATTCGTTCGAGGATCGACAAGACGTTCGGTCGTAGATCGATCTCCGTTTTACTGTACAATATGTAATCGACATGAACTACTACTCACTCGACGAGTCAGGGCAGTGTAGCTTCATATACGCGTTTCGTAGTGTATATCAGGCCATCGGAGCACGGTCGAGCTCACGGCCCTTCTTCCGCGGAGTCTAAAGCTACCGTCCGCACTGTATGCTGTCGAAACAGCACCGCGCGCGCACACCCGCGCTACACCATTGGCAGCGGCACCACCACCGACACCACTACCAGTACCAGCACAGCCACTAGCACCAACCACCTTGACGACACCGCTATCGCTCCTGCTCCGATCATAATTTCCATGGCGACGAACACCGGGAGATAGCACAACGCGAAGGGAGGATAGTGCATAGATCCACGAGAAAGAGAAAATCGGAAAGAAGACGGGGGCGAAGGCTGTGAAAACGATCGAAACTCAACTGTTCTATCACGTACCACACCCCTTCACCGTAATTCCTACCCCGTTGCCCTCACGATCCGTCCGCGCGAGTTTTCCCTCTATGCGTACCTACGCACTTCGGCAACCCGGAGCGAACCATCTCGGTTACCCCCGACTCGAGCTTCGCGTCGGAACGAATCACGCCATCATTATTCTTATTCTTATTCCTCTAGTTACTCTTACGATTATCGCTGATTAACGCGAAGAAAATGTACCTAATAGGGGAGAAGGGTGGAGAAAGACGAAGAAACAACAGTGAAACGTCGCGTCGTATCGCGCGACACGTTTGCAGCCCGAACGAACCAGGGATGCGAAAGTGTTACAGGGAGGGGGGCTGGAACGGAAGGAAGGAAGAGAGAGCGAGCGCAAGGGAGAAGGAGGGGTGAGAATGGATCGCGCGCGCAATTTGTCTGCTCATTTTTCCGACTACTTTCCGCGACACTTTACAGGCACTGTCCGCTATCGGTGCTGGACGAGAGAGCGGGTCACGATTTAAACCGACCGACGACAATACTGTGCTTTAGTTTCGTGAAAATCGAACACCGCAGCCATGTCGCCGCGTCCTAGAACGTCATCTGCTCGGCCCGGCTTCGGACGTTCTCGTGCACGTTCGTCGAACGCTACCGTGCACCTTCGGAGGAGGATCGGAGTCGGTCGGCAGTGTGTCGGCACCCCTTCGAAGCTCCCAGCTTTTCCGTCTGCCCGACTCTCCACCATCCCTCCGGCAACCTACAATACCACATAGTCGAATTACGCTAAACTTTATCGATGACCAACTAGATATCATATATCGGGCATTGCCGGGACCGCTGGTTGATTTTTCTATAGCCGATGTACGTATGTCAGCTGGCACATTGTCCGCTCGTTTCTTGGCCAATTGTTTCGATTGTATTTTCCCTATTACGCTCAATAGAAACGAATCATCTTTCAATTGGAATGACGTCGGGGAGGGTGGTATCGAGTTGTAATAAAACAGAATTACATATTCTACCGATACTATATGTATTTATTCCGATGGAATGCGAGTGTTTATTGTACTCGTAGCGAGTGATATTGCATATTTATAATATGCCACGATAAAGCACTAAAAGTCGTTCACTTGAAAATTGAATAGGTCTACCTCCAGAAAATATGCAAACACCTTTTCAGAACAATACTAATGTTTTTTAGGTAACTGTTATAATTCAAGGAAGATACGCCGAGAAACAACTTTTGTCTGAAAATCTTATAAGAACATTTTATTATTTTATTATACTCTATACTTTATTATATCCTTACTCTGAAATAAGAATATATTATAAAAGTAAAACAGTCTGATACGCTGCAAGCTGAAAACGTGACGATACATTGCTAGCCTTAAAATAAATAAAACATTACGATGCTTCACGTTTAACATTACAAAATATAACAATAGAACAGCTCAAAATTATTTAATATAATCGTGACGTAAAAGTTGAAGCGGAATCCGGGGGTAGGAGAAAGTGAACAAATTTTATTCTAGAATTATAAACGAAAAATAATAATATAAGAAAAAATAAGGATAATTCCTGCGGGTTCTATTTGACCTTGGTACACCAATGGCTTCACGTAAAGCAGCGAGCTATAAGTAAGCGTTCTGCTCATGTGCGATGCAGTCGATGAAACGAACACTTCGTCCTGAAGCAGCGACGTAACAAATTATTGGTACTTATTGTTAGTGCTTGCGACGAGGCAAGAAAGGAAACAACTCTCGATGCAAATGAACTGTACTGTATCGTTTGGCATATATCTGGCAATTCGTTTGGAAAAAATCATGCATCCCTCTTACACGAATTTCTGTAAAACCGTTTTTCGTGCTTGCGAAACGTGTACACATCATTTGCATATTAATACAGACAATACCGTGATTTTCACCAAATCCTAAATTTACATCTAACTAGTTGTTTACATGAAAAAAGTACGTATTATTATTATTACAATGTCGAATATTTATCATTAGAATTTTCAAAATCATAATACAAAGTAATATAAGTAATATAAGAAGCGCATATTATCGTATAATCGAATTCGATACAGTGTCTTGTACCCAATCTATGCAATTTCATTTTGAATGTAGGGCCTTCCCGTTAAATACGTTACTGCCCTGGGGACTTATTGATCAACGATCAGTACACATATATGGTAAAGTTTTGCGCACGCCATTCCTCGAAATGTGACTGTCATTTCGCAGTTCAGGATGTCCCATTTTTAATTCGAGAATATAAGTCGGATCTTGACATCTTGCATAACGATTTGCAATTTAAATAGTGTACCCTCTCTGAATATTCCTCTCCGAAAATTGTACGAGCTTCCAAATTTTATCACCTAATTACTTGTGTGCTTGGATTAACGTTATAATGGGCACACGTCAGTTATGGTACACAGGGCAATAAATATTGAGAAAATTTAATCGTATATATTTTCAGATAGAAGAGATTTATGTACACTCGAAGTTTTTAAAATATATAAGACTGATAATTTTTCATAGCTATGTGGATAAGTTCAAATCAATTTATTACCTCCATATTCCAAAAGTAGATATACTAAATTACATTGAACGGATTACTCTTAAAAGTAATTATAACATAATACGTTAAGCATTGTTTTGATCGAGTCAAGTGATATATATCGGCGTATCATCCAACGCCTGCTTAGGAGTTTTCGAGCAAATCTCCGAATTAATTAAAATAGAATTTGTGTAAATCTTTCGGTACCTTATATTTCATGTGAATTTTTCTTGAGTTTCTTAAGAATGCCGAGTATTTCTGCAGTAAGTACTGCACAGATGGAATGCATTCTACCTCTCGTGAGATTGAAAAGCGACATTGGATAACTCTTTGTTTATACTAACCGACAAACAGTTCGTTCAACTCATTGTTTCCATTATGCATCCTATTGTATATACACACCTGTACGTACTGTAATGAGTCAAATAATTAGTAATAAAATAAAGATAAACGAATTAACACGTTAAGCGCCACGAAAATCTTAAGCGTTTTCCCATAGAGTTTGTCTTTTGTAGCAAAGAAAAGTAGGAATACTTATGAATTGTTTGGCAATTGAAAGGCAAAAATTGAGAACTCATTAATCGGGTAATATGCAAATTGATTTGATGTTAAACGAATTAAGTTGTTATGTGTTAAATTTAAATCAAATTTAAAAATCGGACCCGTGTATTTTCGGACTTCGTATTTTTTAAAGCTGACAACACTATAAAAACTAGTTGCCCGCGCGCACTTTTATGTTACAATCCTATGTAGTTTAGTAACTAATCGTTCAATTCAGGTAGAGTTCGCCAGAGTACTGGAGCATTTTTGACGGTGTCGGTATTTCAGAACGGTAGCAACATTTAAAATTCGTACAGACACGTTACATGTTACCAGAGTTTTTGTCTAAGTACAGACTTAAGATACGTGCGGATGTTGCACGTTGTGGGAATTCTGTCTGGGGGTTTAGACATTTTTAGGATCCCTGAACCATTTCGGTGTCGCGCACGATATTACCGATAAAACACGATTTCAGACTTGTGAGTAGGAATCGAATTAGCTGTACACTTGATTTCTGCTACAAGTGTTTTACTACCGACGAGATATAAGATAGACTAGACACGCAATGTTAATTTTTCTCGCACGGCTGGAGGTAACGTGACCCCCTTATCATTCCAGTGTCACTTACAATGTTACCTACAGAGTAGAAGCAAATACAAATAAATAAATAAATAAATGAGAACCGTGTTCTTTCTCATTTTTTGTCTCAACATTAAATTTTTCTGAACGCTTGTAATTTCTTACACTTATTTCAGCTATTTCGCTTTCGCTATTATGTAATTTATATTTGAGGCCATAGCCTGTGCTCATTAATCATGTATTATGCATACGTGTAAAATAGAAATAGCGATCGCAAACTTTTAGTTTACAGGTAAGTGATAGTAGCGAATTTCAACGCATTCCCTTAGAATGAAATGTATGTAATTCTATTTGAGATCATTAGAAACACAATTAAAAATCATCTGTTTACTTTTATATAAAATAACTGAAATGTTTACATTTTCTGCTATCAAAATATATAAACAAATAAAGCGCGATTCGAAGACCTGTATCGATAATCGTAAATATTTCTTTTGTTTTTTACGAAGGTGAGTTGACATTTGTACATATGAATATTTATGTATTTGATACTGATATGCTCGGAACGAATGCACGTGAGGAATTACAGCTTGCCTCTTCTCTGTAGTACCGATAACTGAGCTAAAAACGCGCAAGAATAAGGGAAATCGGTTGCACGCTCTACCTCGGCCCTTCCATCGAAATATAGTAGCCGAGTCTCGTGTTCCCAAAATTCGATAAAAATAAAAAAGCCACCGCTTCGTCGAAATGAAATGGGATGCCAATGTTCGTTACATCTTATCCGATTTATGGCGTGTTTAGACTCGTTTTGATTAAAGAAGCATTCCCAATCGATTCATCGTGTCCCTATGATATAATTTAAAATTATAAGATGAATTTGAACTTTATCAGTACACAACGATCGGAGTGATTTGTAAATATCCGAAAATTGTCTCTCTATCGTGCAAGTATGTAAGTCTGAAAGAAAAAAATGCTTACTCAAGAAAAATTCCAAAGTTATTCAATAAGTTGGTTTCACAACTCATATATACCTAAATAATCGACGTTTCACGTATCGACAGATTACTCAAGACTTAATGTTGAAAGGCACCTTTGGAGTTTAAAGGGTTAAAATATTATTCTCAATAAGTTTTTAATATTTTTAAATTATTATTTCTATATTTAATTAATATCATTATAGATGTATGAAACAGTATACATAGTATAATGTTCGTTCCGCTTTCCTGGACGGATGGTTCAAGTCAAGAAAAACATGTTGCTTTTATATAAATTAATTACGCACTCGATCAAATATGAAAACAAGCCTCTAACCAAACTCAATGCAGCAACTATCTATAGAATTATGTACCTACCTTTCACGCACAACAAGGGGGATAAGTTACTCAACCATATAAAAAAAAAGGCACAGTGAAAAGCATATTGTTCCGAATGAAGAGAAAAAGATAGAGCTAATAGGCGGGGCAAGAAATTGAAGAGTAAAGGAGTCACCCGATGAAAGAAAAGGACGGAATGAAAGCTGATGGCGTAAACTACACTATTCGTGGCGTTTCAGTCGCAGTATTGCACGCGAAGTTTAAATGTTGTGCGAAGCAATTTAACCGGTCTTAACTAGTTTCTTTCTCGGTTTTGAACTCCGAAAACTAAAATATATAAACAAAGTGATCCAAACATTACCGTTCTGCTATTGTTATAATAAATTTAATGTTTTAGAAACGAATTTTCGAATTTTCAAGTGACATATGTGTTTGCATTAGTTAACCCAGAAATTGAGGTTAGGAAAGGCGTGACATAGTTTTGTATAAGTGCCGCGTATAACTATTCGGGAACAGGTGGTGAAAACGTGTTTATAATTAAGCCATATGAAATCAAGAAAAATTGAAAAACCGTGTACCTATCGCGAAAACTCAATAAAAAACAAGTAACATTGTATCTTTTTCCTTGTGCATAAGAAGTGCAATTGGTGGTGAGGACAACAAAACAACGGGTCATGCGAATGACGTAAGGTAACGGATCTTTTTTCTAGTAAATAAATTGTAGAGGTAAAGCTGAATAACTACGAGAAACACTGATGCTGTAGTTTGTTTATATTTATTTTATATATTTAATATAATTCTGAATAAGACTGTTTCTCAATGAACTGTTATTCGAGAAAATGAAATAAAATTATTTCGTTTAATGAACTGGCATAGAAGAGTGTACTGAAAATATTATGAATTAAGATAAAATGTATAAAAAGTATTTGAAGATCAGTATTTGTTTAATTCTGTTACAGTATAAAAAAACTATATTATGCTGGGTTGTAATGGTTTCTACTATTACTATAAACTAATATTTTGTGATTTATTATCAATTTTTTATATGCTAGAGAGATAAAAATAGTACTAAAAGTAATATTAACGCACTAAAAATATGATCCCTCAAAATGGGTACTGTTTATATTCTCTTTAATTTCATACGTTATTTTTAATTCTGCAGATATAATTGAACATATATAGTTTATATACATGATGTTTTTGTATAAGTTATACAAAATGTTTA